TTGTGTTCGCTTGCCGCGCACAAGGCCCGGGTTCGACCCCGGACGGGACGGGGTTTTTGCTTTTTCATAAAAGGCTCAGAGTTGGTTATTCCCCTTGAAAAACACCATTTTAGGCACGGCTCGACCTACTGCTGGGCGAACAGCGTCTGCCCCACCGATACCGAATGCGCTAACGGGCTTTGTTGCCGGACCGGAAGTAAGTTATCTAAAAGGCTTGGGTTCGGTTTGACTTTTCAAAGTTTCGAGTTTAAAGGCACTTAAGCAGCTTGGCTTTTCCAAGTTTATGAGGTACATCCGCCCACCTCTAGCCTTTCCCAGGCCCGACGGTACGCATTTTTTTGCTTCACCTCTAGCCACCGACCACCTTTCAATTGACCGGCCTGCCAAAAAATTGCCCTTTATCCGACAGCCGTCCTTTTCTTTCCAAATCCACACAAACAGTATGTGTTGCAGCCCCCCACAGAGAGCGTAAAGAGTTGCGAATCGGCACTCAACTCGGGGCAAATAGATGCCCCGCATCCACCCCGCTTCGCACTGGCTTGGCCCCAGAGAAGCTCGCGGGCGGTTTTTCGGAACGCCTCTGCTAGGTTAGCTGATTCGGAGATAAGAGGGGATTAAAGGGAATGTGAAGCAAAAAGGGTAGAAGGGGTTAAAATGGTCCAAAAGTTGCTTGGGATTTTTCAAATTTTGCAGAGATTTTTTAGGAGTTTCTTGCGCGATTATCAGGGCTCGAGGTTATGGTAAAAAAAAACAAAATATTTTAAATTCCTCACTGAACAAAAGGCAAAAAATGGGGCAAACCAGCAAAGATCTTTTTATCACCAAACTAAGCATAATTTTTGACAATAAAAAGCATTTTTGTGCATTTGGTACCGTAATTGGTAACTTTATTAGCAAGCCCGTAAATGCCAAATTCCATCCGTTTTGCGGAATTATGCGGCCTTTGGCTTTTCCTTTTCCTTCAGCGCCAGCGCCTTTTTCCGGTCGACCTCCATTGTTGTTTGCACGTAGAAATACCTAAAATTTAACAGCTATTAAATAAAACTTCATTATTTGAATTTAGTCGAAAATACTATAAATAGGTCGATAACATTTACTACGGTAGTTTACCCAAGGAATATCAGCAAAAAGAAGGGCCATCGCAGCGTTACGGTCTCTTCCTCGAAAATGCGCCTCACGAAGAGTTGGCCGACCTTAAAATTATATCAATTTAGTGAAAAAATTGGCATATATATCTTTATTAAATAAGTTGGATGGTATAGGCATTTCATAAACTTGATTTAATACTCTGAAACCCGCCTCTGATCCGCCCAAAAAGTAGAAATTTGAGTACAACCCAAAGGCGTAGGGGACGATTTGGAGGATGCCAAGGATGCGTCTTAAATTTGTAGTGTTATAATTTCAGTATATTTCTATACAGATACCTAAAATTAACGTCCGAAATGTTCTTCTCACGCCACATTTTCACCGCCTCAATCCCGTAGAAGGCCTTGCTGGACATTTCGATGAACAAAGCAACGACATTCAGTCCAATCCACACCTAAAAACAGGTATCAGGAGTTTATCTTTAAAGGGGTTGTGGATCGTTTTTAAATGCGACAAAGCCTATCAAATTGCAGCTTACATAGTTATGATGGTAGAACCCGTGCCAAAGTAGCACAAATCCGAACGACACCAGCACTCCGCAAATCTTGCGCGGCAGCGAGAAGCTGGGCGCGCAGATTGGGATGAAGATGTAGCGCTTGAAGAATTGGTACAGGCCGCGGTCAAACGCGCGCCACACCTAAATCAAGTTTTTAAAAGATATGGTAAGATTAAACGAAAGTGTCATCAGATGGGAAACCTTTTTAATGGATGAAAAGTCACGCTACTTACCTTTGAATATAAAACAACCCCAACGATGCAAATTGGGCCGTCGAGCGGTTGCATATTGTCGAGCTTGGCGAATAGGGTGGGGAGGCCGAAGATGACCACGTATTTGAGGTGGAAGGACATTCCTAAAAGGTTCGGGTTAGAATTAGATTTAGGTTTTGGCCTAACTTTAGGCTTGGCTTTACGCCTCGGCTTTGCGTTAGGCTTCGCCTTAGGCTTAGGTTAGGCTTAGGCTTAGGCTTAGGCTTAGGCTTAGGTTAGGCTTAGGTTTAAGCTTCTTTAGGCTTAGAATTAGTAAAAGGCTTAGGCTTAGCGTTTGCCTTAGGTTTAGGCTTAGGGTTAGGCTTCGGCTTATCCCTACTCCTAACTTACCTAAAGCCATTCCCAACGACACAAATCGATCTTTTGGCAGCGCATTTGCATAGGCCAGATCCTTCAAAATGGCCTCATGGTACAAAAAGTGCAGTGACAGCTCCATCAGGGCCCACCAGAAGGCGATACGGGCACCGAAGAAGAGAGTTCCCTGCCAGTCGCGCTTCTAAAGGAATAGCCCAGCTTCAATGTAGCGGAGCGGTAATTACCCGATTTTTCCGCTCCGCCAGCTGACGTTCAAAGTCAGGATATACGGTAATCAGGGACACCAAATAGGGCTGGTAGAAGGCGAAGAACATCATGCGTAGGAATTGCTTGGCTGAGGTGTCGTCTTCTTTTCTAGAAAAAGGCTAGGCTTAGGCTTAGGATTAGGCTTGGGCTTATTCTGCCAGGCTCGGCCTTGCCATCCAAAATTCATAACTCACCGAACCGGCTCGCGCAGCAACTCCAGATTGTAGGAGATGAACGAGAGTAGGGTGTAGGAGACGAAGAGTAAGACGAAGAACACCTAAATTTTACATTTTTTGAGCGAACGAACTTCAGAAGCTTGCTGCCACGATCCCTTTAAATTAAAAACTTACATCCTCGCCCAGCGCAAATGTATTGTGCATAATAAAATACATAATAGGGAGTGAGGAGGCCCAGACGGCGAGTTGGTGCCTAAAAACTGATGTAGATTTTTAGTTTCGACAATTGGAGCATTTTAAAGGGCTGTAGAAGCGAGAAATTATTGCTCCTTTAAAGCAAAGTGTATGGAAGTTAGCCAAAATCGATGACCCTACCTAGTAAATCAGCCAGTGCAAATTAGGTCGATTTTCCGGAATTTTCCGATTTTCCCAACCAATTTTCGCTTTTATTTGTTTTGTAAAGGACCAGGGAAGCCAAAATTAGCCATACTGCTTGAAAAGCTCGTATCGTACGATGAAAGCACTTGAAAAGCCAAGACATAATTTTTCAACTCAAGAGGATTGGGCGCGCAATTTGCATCCTAAACCAGCCCGAAGTGTTATTGCCGCTGACTTTTTGAGGGGATCTCCAAAAAGAGCACGACCCACCTGAACAGCTTGGTGACGACGAAAATGAGGGCGCCCTGGGCGATGGAGCAGAACGTCAACCAGGGCGAATAGTGGTACGCGCAGGCGGTGATTGAGAGGGCTGAAGTTGATGTTAGAAAAAGAAGTAAAGTAAACTTAGGCTTAGGCTTAGGACTTAGGCTTAGCTTAGGCTTAGCTTAAGCTCAGCCTAGGCTTAGCTTCGGATTAGGCTTATGCTTGACCTGGCTTACCTGTATATAACGGCACAAACAGCTTCTCGCTGAGGTATTTGTGAACCCAAGTTGAACACGACAAAATGCCCGAAATAAATCGGCAAGTAGCTCCACGCAGCCGGGGACCATTTCCACCACTCCCAATTTGTTTGATCCTAAAAAACATAATTTCAAACGTTTTTGGCAAATTCAATGCCAGTATTTTATTTAAAGTTTCCAACAATATCAATTTTTACTTTAGTTATTACACTTTTCGGAGAAATTTAAGGAAAAATTAACGATTCGAACTGTAAATCTTACCTTTGATCTCTTCCCAAATATTGGCAAATCAGTCTCGGTTTTCCAGTAGCTATATTTAAACGTGAACGTCTCGCTGGCCTTGTACACGCCATACCTGGAATTTCGTAGTGTAATCGATTAGGCATTTCTAGGCTTACCAAGCATATACCATAACGGACATCATGACGAGAAAACATAGCTTCACCTCGGGGAGCGCCGGGTATTCGAATAGAATTGGGCGAGGCGCTCTTTTTGCGGGGGCGTCCGTTGGATTTTCGGTTGTTTTCCCCTTCGTTTGGCCCATGGTCTTTAATAATTGAATTTTTATACAAAATCGGCATTAAAATACGTAAAGTTAAACGTAAAAAGTATGACAAAGCGCTAAAACGCCGACAAAAAGAATTAATTCGGAGCAGCAACTTTTAGCACTGAGCCTGAGGTATATTTCGCATTAATCTCGGTTATTTAGGGCACGATACGAAATAGAGAATAAAAATAAATGTAAAAAATTGTAAAACAAAGCTTCTAGAACGGATAAACGAGGAAAATAGAGAGATTTTTAACTGGAAAAATCGACCTTTTAGGGGGTAAACCTAGAAATTTTTCCTTATATTTCAGTAGCGACTACATTACTGTACTATCCACAACTCTTGTGGAATGAGGAAGGACAAGGAATAGCCCGGAGGGGAAGGTCGACCCTCTCTGATGCTGCAGCCCGATTGAGGGGGAGGATTTCCATCCTAGGGGGCTAGGGGTCGACCTCCACCCCTCCGCCTCCTCATGGGGGATCTATTGTAGCCTGTATCTCTCTCTCTCTGTCTCTCTCTCTCTCTCTCTCTCTCGCCCTAGGCGAACTGGCTCTGGCTGCCCCTAAAAACCGGATATATCCAACCGCAAAAGAGCGAGAGGATCCTTTAGATCCTTGTAATACTGGTACAGGTGGAAACCGAGATGTGGATTCTCAGAAAAAATTTTTGAATTCTAGTTTGGTTTTTTTAAATTTTGAGTTGTAGCTTATGGTAGCTGAGCAGTATAACAGTATTTTGCACACATTTTGGAATCCGTAAGATATTCATGAGTTTCAGGCTATAAAATATTGAAAATTCGAAAACTGCTAATTACGCTATTTTTCATGTGAAAAAATCGGTATGACCCCCAGAGATTTTCGAATCCTGTTTTTGACCAAGAAACCGTAAAAAAGGTGAAATATATGCGCAATCCGACTGTCATCCTCGTGCTCCCCTGCAGTGTTGGGGGTATCCAGGTCACCGGTTTTCCACAGCAACCCAAATCCCCCTCCTCCCGTGTACTCTTGCTCCCCCGGCGCAGGTCATTTTGAACGGCAGACAAAATTCAGAGCCAAAAGTGATCTTGGGCATAAAATTAAGAATATAAACGAGACGTTAAAGCGAAATTACAAAGAGAAATGTATAAGTCTGGTCAAAGGCTCATAGGGCCCCGAAAAACCCCAGGGATTTATGCTTTAATAGCTTTTTCGAGGAGGTTTTCTAGGATATATCGAACGATTAGAAACATAACATGTTATTGCGTAATCGAATCATCACGAAAAAATCATCCACTTCCTGTGACTGAACTTCTTGTTCCCAACCCAACCTAACCAGCTCCAGCTTCCTAAAAGGTGGCTCAAGGCGGCGGAGGAGGGCCCAAGGAATCCAGCCAAGACTCATGAAAATTGAGAGCCTTTGATGCCTTAAGACACAGCTAATGATTAGAACTATTCTGAAACTAATCATTAATTCCAGAAACCGAGAAGCGCCAGGCTTTCCATGCGCAAACCTGCGACGCTGGAGAGTTCCAATGTGGCAATGGAGAGTGCGTGCCCGAGGCGAAGAAGTGTGACCGGAAATATGATTGCCGTGACGGAACGGACGAGACGAGCTGCGGTAAGAATTCATTCCATAAAGCAAAAAAGCTGAAGTACCAAAGCTGACGGCATAATTTTTCAGATTATTTCGTGGCCGCTCAAAAAGCCCACCACGACTCCCATACGGCGCAACAGCCGACGCTCCCAGCTCGTAAGTATCGTTTCTATCGAGATTTCCCTCTCTCTCTCTCTCTCTCTCTCTCTCTCTCTCTCTACAGTAGTAAAATTTCTTTTTAGCCGCCCACCAGGATTACGAGGACGGCGAGTGCAGCGACCAGGAATTCAGATGCCCGTACCTCGTCGAGCTGAAGTGCTTCCACTACGAGAAGCTGTGCGACGGTGTTGATGACTGTGGAGATGGATCCGATGAGGTCAGTCTCTCTCTCGCTCTCTTTCTCTATCGCTCTCTCACCCTCTCTCCATTTCTAAACCTTTTTTCAAGATCAATTGCGAGTCCGGAAGTGCTGACGAGCGTGTCGCCCAACCGAACCCACCGGATCATCGCGGAAACTGCGGATCTGGCCAGTTCCAGGTATCAAAATTTATGCCAATATACATTACGCTCCTGTTTACAGTGCCGCAGCGGGGATTGCATCGAGGAGTCCCTAAAGTGCAACCGGAAATACGATTGTACGGATGGTTCGGATGAGACCGAGTGCGGTGAGTAATTTAACTCAATAGACGCTAATTTAGAAATTTAAGTGACCATTTTCAATTACAGTACCGTAAAAATCGTACTCGATCACGCAATGTGCTAACATTTCTATATAGTTCTTGCCCCCCCCAATTTTGTTATTTCGTTCCCCGGGATGGCAAAACTTTATTGGTGTATCATTTTCGGGGGGTTCTTGCTGGCCGGGGGATGGCCGTATATCGGGTTGAGTCATCTGAAGCTGTGTTGTGTCTATTTCCTATTCCGGGTGTCCCCCGTTCCAGCCAAGGGCATCGAAACGGGACAACAAATTGGGGGGACTTTACGGCCCTGTGACTAGGCCCGACTGTAGTCTCAAGTTTTAAAGGGATGGTGACAGGAGAAAGCGAGGGAGAGAGAGAGAGAGAGAGAGAGAGAGAGAGAGAGAGAGAGAGGGAGAAGGAGCAGGAGGATAAGAACAGGGAGAGAATGAGAGAGAGGGAGCAAGAGAGTAATACAAATACGGGAATAAACAGGAGAAGCAAGAGGGGAAGAAATATAGAGAGAACGAGAGGGAGAGTACGGGAGAGACGAAAAAGAGAGTAAAACGATAGAGCGAGAGAGAGAGAGAGGGAGAGAGAGAGAGATGCGACTGAATATACCTAATTTCAGACTACTACAAAGCCGCCATGAACCGCCACCACCCCAACTCCGTTCAACATGAAGCCAGACCAGCCCAGGTAAGCAATTTTACGTCACAAGCTTACGAAGCTAGAAAAATGAATTGAAAATTGATACCTGGTAAAAGCACAAAAAAACACCAAAATCAAAGCTCGGCACCAATTTTTCAGCCAGCCAATGAGGAAGCTCGCCGAAGGACTGATGATCTTCAGGTAAAATTCGGGATTCGAAATGTTTATTGAGTTTTTAGCGCCGCGAGCAAGAGCTTCGCCGTCGTGAGGAGGAGGAACGACGCCGTGAGGGAGAGGAACGTCGTCGTGAGCAGACCGTAGGAATTTTCGTGCGATTCACATGAAACTACGCTTATTAGGAATCGCAACGTGAGCAAGAGAACTCGAGGCGTGAGGAGCAGCGTAGGATTGAAGAAGGTATGTAACTGCGAGCACTAGAGGGCACCTTAAGGTGTTTGCTCGAATTAGCTAAAAGGTTCAGGCGAGTTTATGTGGGATAAAGAAAGCGAATTAGAGAGAGAGAGAGCGAGAGAGAGGAGAGAGAGAGAGAGAGAGAGAGGAGAGAGAGGGAGCGAGAGGGAGAAGGGGAGCGAGTGAGAGGAATCGGTAAATTTAACATTTCTCACTCCAGATCTTCGTCGCCGCCAACACGAAGACCGCCAGCGCCACGAGGCCGAGCAGCGAGCTGATGCTCAACGCCGTGAGGACGAGAAGAGGAGGACCCAGGCAGAGGGACCAGCGGTAGTAAAATGAAAAACTACCGTATATTCGGCGATTCCAGAAAGAGGTGCGCTTCTCCGGGGAGCACGACATCGACGGACCACCAGAGGACTATGAAGATGCCGGTTGCCTGGAGCACGAGTTTATGTGCCATACGGGGGAGTGTATCGACAAGAGGAGGTTCGTTTTATGGCTTTCTTGTCAATTAGGGCGTTGTGTCACTAAACTTAGCGAGAACGCGAAGCTTAATGATACTTAGCTTACCTGACATCTTTAATAGACTCTGCGACACCCGCATCGACTGTCTCGACGGTTCAGACGAGGAGAATTGCCAGGAGACCCGACTTGACGAGCCGATCCGCCAGCATCCAGCTGCTCCAGCTCCACCGGCCCGCCCTGAGCACCAACAACCAGGTTGGTCCAGAGGGCGCTATGATAGATACTCTAACGCTGGTTCGTTTCGGGTGCTAGGTTTTGGTGCAAAAAATTGATGCTTGATGGATTGGTGGCTGTCAGCGCATAATTCCCATGGGATACTCTGCACGCCGAGTTTTTTTGAGGGTAGAAATGTTTTCCCTGCTCCCATGTGTACTCAAAAGAGCTCCTAACCGTAGGCTTAGGCTTAGGCTTAGGCTTAGGCTTAGGCTTAGGCTCAGGCTTAGGCTTAGGCTTAGGCTTAGGCTTAGGCTTAGGCTTAGGCTTAGGCTTAGGCTTAGGCTTAGGCTTAGGCTTAGGCTTAGGCTTAGGCTTAGGCTTAGGCTTAGGCTTAGGCTTAGGCTTAGGCTTAGGCTTAGGCTTAGGCTTAGGCTTAGGCTTAGGCTTAGGCTTAGGCTTAGGCTTAGGCTTAGGCTTAGGCTTAGCTTAGGCTTAACTTAGGCTTAGCTTAGGCTTAACTTAGGCTTAGCTTAGGCTTAGCCTAGGCTTAGCTTAAGCTTAGCATAGGCTTAGCTTTGCCAACTTTCCTTCTTTGTTTACTACATCCAATTCGTAGGTATCACTTTCCACATCCCCCTAGCCTTCCTTATAGCCAGCCTACCCTCTCTAGCCGGGGGCGCTGATCCGAAACGACAATAATCGTGAACCGGGATCTCCTTCTCTTGCCTCCTCCTTCTTGTGGTTTCTCCATCGTCTTCTTCTACCCCGTCCCTTATCTGTCTTATCCATCCTCCCTTCCATTCTTTCACCCCAGCCAGCATACGCCCAGCCCGACCTGGCGGTCCGAATTTTTCCCCTTCAGCGCCTACCGTACAACGAGGGATATTTCGTAATGTGACTGGCTGTAATGGTGTCTAAAAATCCGTATTTCACAACAAATTTTTCCAATTTTTGTTCCAAATTTTTGCCGGCATTATTTCGTTTTATGGTTATTTCCGTCTGGAGGAGCATCAGGAGTTCACAATTTTTCCATGATCAGATGCATTTTTGAAGAGAGCTTGCATTGTTGAAGCTCAGAATTTTTTTTTGGAGAAACAAGGCATCAACTGGCTCGTTTTTTCGTTGATTGAAGCGTTCCGTAGCAGTCCGTTCCTTGTTGGCTAATTTTTCCTGATCTCTTAAGCCCGAAGCCCAAATCGAGGTTTTAGTAGAGAAGCGTCGATAGGAGCGTAGTGTAGCGTTTAGTGTTAATACATGTTTGCGATTTCTGGACTTGTTCATCTTTTTCTCTCGTTTTCTTTTGATTTTTTCGGTTTACTGGGCTGTTTTGTAAGCCACATCATTTTTGGAAATTAGAATTAAAAAGAAGAACCTTACTGCCAACGTTTTATGTTTAGGATGCCTTTAAAGGTCCTTTAAAGGGGTCGACAAGTCATGGCTATGGATTCGATTGACTATGGGTTTTGATGTTCTCGCTGCAGCGGATATTTTTTTGGTGTTTCATCGCGTAATGAAATACGAGCCCGTCAAGGTGGTCAAGAGGCGTTTGCGGCAAAAAAACTTTAGCGATAAATCCGTCGCCTTGCCTTGTGCGCCCCTTTAAAATCTCAATTTCTATGCGGAAGCGTTTTCACTATACAAAACGAATCCATCGCCCCGATCGGCCCCACTAGTCATTAGTGTCCGAACTAGTCGATGAGCAATGATAAATTTCGGAGGGGACATGGGCAGGGCTGGCTAATTTCCGAAACATGCCTCTGCACACCCCTTGCCGTGCCAGACTCCACTAGCCTCTCCGCCCATCCACCTTGACTACCTTATGACGCATAGACACTACGCGGGACTCCGCCCCCCTGATATTTGCCATCCTGGGCTTTGTAACAGTCCCCGAGGTTCATATAGTTACTCCCGCCCTCGGGCTTGAATTTCGAGACTCTCGTGATACTGTAGTTGAACCTATAATTGTCGTAACTGATTTTTCCATATCTACATACTGTAGTTGTAACGTGCCTGTAAGGGCCTGCGCGTTAATGTGCTACTTTCCCTAGAAACCTCTGCGAGCCACCGAATGTAGGCATTAGCTATCGTAATCGGTTTTATCCCGCATAGCGCACGATTTTTGTCGTTTAGAGCTTTCTACAAAGACACTCAGCTAGCTTGCCTTGGACCCTATTTACCCTTTTTTAAAAGAAAAATTCAACCAAAATATTAGTTTAAAAATTTTTTTTTTTTCCCCTGCGGGCTTGCGGCTTTTTTCTCGGGTTTGGGTTTTTACTGTTTTTTTCAATAATTCTTTCCACCCCCCCCCGTCTTTTTTTTTTATTATTAAAATTAAACAATGATTGACTCAAAAGGACCTCTGCTAGCTTGCCCGGTAACCACTTAACCTATCTTAAGTGTCTATGCCTGTACAGCTATTTCCTCAACAATCTCTGCTAGCCTGCCCAACCTTACATCCGCTCCAGAAAGTCTATCACTAAGATTCCCGTTCCCGATGACTAATCCGGTCAAATCCCCGAAATTCTCCCGTCAATATGCGCGGCGCGCGCCGATTTTGGGTTCCTGGCTACCCCGGAGGCACGCGTCTACGATTCCGCCACATCAATATTGGTGTGGGACGGGATCGGATGGGGGAAAGAGGAGGAGCAGGAGGAGCTGGAAATGGCGAGCATCAGGTCTGCAGCAGCACCGACTACACGACGATACCCATTGATAGCGCACATCGTTAGCGCTTTTCATCATTCTCTCTGTCTCTGTCTCTCTCTCCGCGCGTACCCCTGAAATTCCGCAACGCGCCGCGCGCGTCCCTGTCCGATGGCCTTGAGTGCCAATTATGAGTGGTATGAGCTGATACCGCTGAACGAGATGTTGGTATGGGAGAGTGTGAGGGAAGGAGAGAGAGCGAGGGAGAGAGAGAGAGAGAGAGAGAGAGCGAAAAACAGACAGATCGACAGCAACGATCTATCTTACTAAGGAGCACCGGCTGGCACGTAGTCCACCGTTTTTTAGGCTTGGGTTTAGGTTTGGGTTTAGGTTTTGGCTTAGGCTTAGGGTTAGGCTTGGGCGTATGCTCAGGCTCAGGCTTAGGAAGGCCTAGGCTTAGGCTTAGGCTTAGCTTAGGCTTAGGCTTAGGCCTAGGCTTAGGCTTAGGCTTAGGCTTAGGATTAGGCTCCAAAAATTGTATATATTTTTTCGGTTTTGTATTTCCATTAAAGTAAGCAGAAAATAAGTCATCTGGCGTCTATCACTTCTAAAAACAAATTCCGCGGCCTTGAAACCACGAAATTCTTGGAAAAGCGCGCTTTTTCTGCACCTTTTTTAGCTCGTGCTCCCGGCCCAACCTCCGGGCCCCCTGCTCCCCCATGTAAGCCAAGGTCGTAAAAAGTGCTCCTTGTTCCCCTATATAATATCTAATCCCGGCCGGGCTGCAAAATGGCACCGCCTCGACCCTCAGAACTTTTTTTTGGGCTTCGAAACCAATCTCCCGCTGAGCGGTTTTTCGGGTTCGGCATCTTTTGAGGGTTTTTCCAAAGGGTTAGACATTAATGCGAGGTGGATCGTGTTATGACGAGCTCGATCTGTTTTTTTCATTAAATTTGCGAGTTCGGAATTTAAAAATAGTATCCGCACTCGGTCCGATTACGCCATTTAATCCCTGGCAGAATAGCGGTTGTTGAATTTGCTAAACTGAAGAAAGTTACAGTGATTCCGATTAACATCAAAAGATTTATAGCAAAAATGCCGGACATCGGATTACGGTAGCTAATTCCATGCAATACCGTAGCTTAATTTTGGAAATCGCAACTATCTTACCGTGCACCTTGGGAATTGTAGCGGTAACCATAGATCCGAATGTTGTTGATGTTGCCATTCGAAACGTTTATGCGATTACGACATCAAAACCTGCAAGCTCTAACTGTGCAGCTTCTCAATTTCACCTAACCCACAGTACCCCTGAAGTGCCGTAACGTTTTATATAAAACTCACCCTGCTAAAAAGTGACCGCTATCCGCATGTGGGCCCTATCAATCAGTGTTGTTTTGGGCGTAGGCATCGGGGCTGGAGGCCCGTTTTTTGCGGTGAAAAATCGGCCGCAGGGTTGGAGAGACAGAGAGAGAGAGAGAGAGAGCGAGGGAGAGAGAGAGACCCAACGAGCGAAAGAAAGCAGACAGTTGTTTAGCCCCCGAGGTGAGCATCAGCAAGCAGGTCCTCCCCGTGCCCTCGGGCCCATGAGCTCGAGCTCCTCTGCTGGGCGAGGCCACCCATTTTTCTTGAGAACAAGGGCCTCCATCTCCACCCTATCCAATTCGCGGCTACCTCACACTACGCTTCGCAACACTTTACGGGGTGTTTTAAAGGGGTTGTGAAGCGGGGAATTGCTTTATCGACCTTTCTGACGAAAATTCAACGACTTCCGGGCATAATAATAATGAAAAATTTCTTGTTAAGAATTTTTCAGTTTTAAACAAATTTTTTGCAGTTTTTATCAGTACATAAATCTGTAGTTTATGTTTTTTAAAGAGGCTGGGAAGCCAAGTCCAAGTTCGCGTTTTTATGGATTTTATACTAGTTCTTTTTATTTTTTTATTTTATTAAACTAGATATGGATAACTTGATTTTCACCCTCAGCGTCATTTAAATGCCGTGCAATTTAGGCTTAACTTAATCTTATTTAAGACTTGACCTAGCAAAAACCCACACTTCCCTTAAATCCATCATCTTCCAAAATCCCTCTACGCCCGGATTTCCCCTTTAGTCGAACGTTTCAGTCGAGCCAAATTTCAGTCCAATAAATCAATTTTCATTACCCGTCGAGAATCCCCCTCCCCAATGTGAGCCCCGGCACCCCGCCGTCGTGATAAACAGGGGGAAAACGGTTTGGGGATCTCCCGCTGCGGGATAGTGGATAGACGAAGACGGGCAACCAAAGACAACCAAAGACGACATCCGCACCTTTCCGGTTGACAACATTTTACATAGATTTTGTACATCTAACGGATCCGTTTTTCGCTTCGGTAATGGACTAGGAAGCCCTAACAGCTGCGTGCGGCCGCGCGTCGCGTGCTGCGCGGACAGTAATTCTTAAACCCATTGACAGTCAAAAAATTATAGCTAAGCCATGCCAGTCCCTTTACGTACGTTTCAAGGCTCCATTCTACCACCTACTTATTTTCTCAGAAATTCTATTGGCATCGATCCAAAACTTTCGCCGCGTTGAACCCCTTACTCATTTTCCCCGATTCGGCAACCTTCGACTTTCCCCCAATTTCTTTTCAAGCGAATTTGTGGGAATTCTATACGGTCGGCGTGAGTAATATGGGGCGAGTTGGAGGGAAGCCTCTTTAGCATTTTTTAGTCTCCTCGAATTCCCAATATAGACGGGGATTTTGGGTTATCAATTTCTCCGAATTCTGGCAGGGTTTTCCTAGCGTCACCGATTCAACTACGCATTAATAGACATCGTCACACTGTAATCGGAGGCTCTTCCCGGGCTGTCGCTATTTTGGACGTACTCATCAGGGTTTTACATGTCGTAATAGCTTAAACTATGCATTAATAGACACCTTGTGGTATGCTACGAAAAGTATGATAGCTTTTGAACATTAATATACCTTTAAAAGTACTATTAAACCGCTTTTTAATGGCGTAATTATGATGATTGAGATAAATCTATACAAATCTGCCTTTAATTTACCTTTAGACCGTAGTTCCGACATTTATGGAATTTTAATCGACCCCCAAAAGACACCAATGGGAAAGAATGTTTCCCGAGGCCGGCTGTCTATCTGTTTTTTGCACATTTGTCTATCATCTCTCTCTCCCTCTCTCTCTCTCTCTCTCTCTCTCTCTCTCTCTCTCTCTCTCTCCCTCCCTCTCCCTCTCTCCTCAAGGAATTGGTGGTTCGCTGGCGCGCGGGGCGGGGGCTCGATTTCCATTCGATTTCGGGGTTGGGGGTTGGTTGTGTGTGGAGCATCGGCTGCTTCGGCAAGAATGGCCACACCCATCTTCACCCCCCCGCCCTGCCTTATGAGCGCCCCGAAAAAACGGACGAAGACAAGGCTAACACTCTACACTTTTTTTTTGTCTCGCCAGCGACGTGCAATACAGGGTGGGAGGGGCGGCTTTTCCTGCGCTACCTCATTTTCGATACCTCATCGAGGCCTGGAGAGGACCGGAAGCCACGCCCCTTTTTGGGATGCGCACTAATGGACATATTTCTAGAATTTCCTCACTGATCTTTTTGCTAGATTTCACCCGGATAAGCCTATTTTTCGGGTTTATTTCTAGTTACTAGGGTTGGAGAAATTAAATACATATTTCCATCTATTTATTCATTTTCTTCCAGCTTAACGTCTCTTTCCTAAAGGTCTCGGCTCGCATGCCTGTGCTTAAATTCCTTTGAAGGCGTCTATTTTAAACGAAAACTGAGATTTTTACGATTTTTGGTCAAAACTTCGTTTTATCGGCTTTACCGTAATCTTAGTTGCCTACCGTAGTAGATTCGTATTATGTTTTAGGAATTTTAAATAGAAAAACAAGGTTTTATCTGCTGCTGACCAATTTCTAAATACTGTCTCCTAGCTTGCCACACCAGTTCTGGCCGAAAAAAAAAAACTATTTTTTGGGTGTTTTTAAAACACAGGTTTTTAGCCGCTAAATACGCATTTTTGTTACGGTAATCTTTTCGGTACCGTAGTCTATTGATTTCTTGCATAAATTCCATGAACTTGCACTCCCACGCGACCTTCCATGCCTATGGACACCTAGATGGAGGCGAGAGAGAGCGAGAGAGAGAGGGAGAGAGAAAGAGAGAAGGGAGAGAGAGAAAGAGAGATAAAGAGAGAGAGAAAGAGAGAGAGATCAAGAAATTAGCTTCCCTTTACCCTGCCTTTAATAACAATTTGGTAACTCCTCTAAAATGCTCGTATCTTTTCACCTCCTGTCTTCCTCGTCACTCCATCAATATGCATCTCCCCCCATCGATAGTAACGAGCCGGCATTTCCCTTCACCTTCTCTATCACCACCCACCCCCCCGATTTTGGCAATAGGCGGCTGGTGGAAAAGCGGAAAAGTGGCGACCGGCTGGCTGGTTGTGCCCTTCCTCGCCAATGCCTTAATATTTGAGCGGAGGCGGGTGGAGGGATTCATTCAAGCAGAATGCCACTAGTGATAGCCTCAAATTTTTGGTGGTGCTGGAATTTGGAATGTCTGTCCCAGCCAGGGCCGAAAAATTCATTTAAATTACGTTTTATACGGACTTTACCGTGAAATTTGCATAAATCTTGCTTAGAAAATTTTCAAAACTTGTAAAAATCTTTTTCCGACAAATTTGCATAAATAAAACGCTAATGCAATAAATATCTAACAATTTCGTATTTTCGTCATTCAATGCACAAAATTAAGTGCTTGGCATACTAAAGCAATATTCCCATTTCGGCATTTTTCGAAAAATTAAGAATAATATTTTTTGCTTTTTGGGACATTTTTAGGCATTGGCATTTTTATGAAATAAAATTTTCTAGCCGTTCATTTTTGCGTAAATTTTCAAATTCGGCGTTTTTGTCGAAATCGGAATTTTTACAATTTTTCGACATTTACGGGATTTTTTCTAGACGCTTATGCTTAGGCTTAGGCCTAAGCATAAGCTTTCTATTCCTCTACTCACTATCGTATAACGTATCGCTCTGTATTACCGTAATTATCTCGTGTTCTCGATTTTCAACGATTTCATTTCTTTTACTCGATTTACCGAATTTTACTCCAGCCCACCACACGCCGGCTCGATTCTTGGTCCCGGGGCAGAGAGTCGAGAAGAGAGAGAGGCTGTACTTTGTAGCCACGGGCTCACCCACTTCCCGGCCCCTTTAAAAGACCTTGTGACGGGATGGGGACGAGGAGGAAAATCCTCCTCGGCCTCTTTTTGGCCGTTGTGCTGCTAGCGGACGGCGTTGACGCCGGAAAGCGACAGCGGAAAACACGCAGTCGCAGCCATGCCAGGCGACAAGGTAAGATTGATCATATTCTAAATATTTATCATTACATTTTGATCAAAACGCTATTTCAACCCTTAGAATTATGCGAGATTCCGTTACTTTCTGTCGAAAAGATTGAGCCTCCGAGCCCTCCCAGAGTGTAAATACACCAAGGAGAATAAATCCCCAAGGGAGGACCCGGATTGCCACCTCATTCTTCCGGCCCTGTCTGCACTCATTATCGGTTATGCGATCGGTGTTCAGTGGTAGTAATAAAGTGCATTTGCTAAAGACCTGCAAAGGATTAAGAGAACAGGTTTATTAGAACAGTGACGGAATATAATCGGCACATGAGAAAAGGTGTCTGAGGGAAATACAAGTGTCGAAGGCCAGGCGGGCCAAGTTTGGGAAAGGGTGTCGAAAGGTTGCATTCGCCAGAGGTTTACTGTGCTCCGGATAGTGGTAAACCACGTCCCCGGCTCACAGCACTCTCACCAAGCCGTGCCGAAGCAACGACTGGCCGCAACACCCTTTCGGGATAGCGGGGGAATATGCAAGCATAATCACAGAGAGCGCCGGGAGGGCGCTCACACAGCCCGCTACCGTAGAGGTCATCGCGGCGGGACCCCTGGCATATTGCCAACCCCTATTATCCCAGGTAATTCATCCTCGAAACTCCTAGGAGATGAAATCTCGTAGGAAAGTTTCGACACTCCCGGCCCGCGCAAGAGCCAGAAAGTGCCGCCCCCGGTGAAGGGAGCAAGGAACCTTACAAGGGGAGGTTGAGTGGGAGCCTCGCGGCGGCCCAAGAATTTACAAACAAGTCCGCCCGGCCCGGGGGAAAGGTTGGGGTACAGAGGGACCAATAACATGGTAGAAAATGTTCTGCACTGTGGGGGCGGGAGGACGAAAATGGGTTAGATAAACGCTAGGGGAGGGGCAACTGACAATAAAATAGTTGGTCGGCGCTAAGGAGCCCGTACTCCTGCCGAACCAACTCGGGAAAGGGGAAGGGGATGACTTATCGGATTTACGGCAGTGGCTGGCGTGTAGTGGACTTGAGGCAGGCTGGCGGCTGAGAAGAGGCTTGTGGCACTTCGCGTCGATGTTGTCTTGCGAAGTGTTGTTGAGCTTGTTTCCTTGCATCTCGCGCAGCCAGTCACGTGAAGTTGTAGGCGAGCATGGCGAAGGTTCCGAAGAACCTTGAGAGGGTGTCGAGTGGTGGTGGGGAGGAATCCTCTCACGAAACCTCCTTGTCACCAAGTAATGTCGAAATGCAGTAAGGCGGTGACGCGAACTTGAATAACGTCTCGGCTTTGGCTAGGGGCACTAGCTGGCTTGTCGCGGTAGGGACGAAGGTTGACGCGTCGAATGATGGTCCTTTTGAAAACGTCGAAGTCGCAGTTGGCGATTCGCGTCAGGGCGGCAGCATGATGTTGTCGCTGGCAGCTTGACGGCGCGGTGGATTTGGACTTGTCGCAAGCACCCAGAAGAAGAGGTGGACTTGTCGACCGAACGGCTCGCGGCAGCCCAAGTAGTGGTCCATAAACTGGAGAATGGCGTGTAGGCGCTTTGTAGGTTGCTCATGAAGTCGTGCAGGGGTGTCGGCTCCATCAAGTAGTGGCTCATCGCGCAGCAGTCGAGCGGCCAAAGAAACAACGGATGCGAACGGCACGGCTACCGCACTCCATCCACAAGTCGTTATCCTGGAGCTTGAAAGTTGGAACCAGCGACGTTTGATTGAAGAGACTTGATGGAGCTTCTTGTCGAGTGAGGTCGTGCTTGAGCGCTGGAGTGTTGAAGCCTTGCATCCGGCTGTTGGTGTCGCAACGGAAGTGCTGACTTCGGTCAGGGCAGCAGCATGAAGTTGTTGATGACTGGAGCGCGGCTGCTGTAGTCGAGGCAGCAACATGAAGTTGTCGATGTCGCTATGTTCAGGACGACAGCAGCAACAGAAGTGATGAACTTGGCGCTTGAAGTAGTCCGCAGTCCATGTAGTATTTCACCGGCTTGGTGGAAGAAAAGGAAGTGCGGGAGCAATCGATGTCAACTCAGTTGTCGCACTTGGCGAGGGCAGCTTGAAGAAATCCTGATATGGATACTTGTCGATCCAAATGCTCGCGGCGGCCCAAATTCTGTGAGTGGATACGCCGGAAGTCGATGGAGTGGAAGAAGTAGTAGTGACCGCAGCGAATGTCGTCGCCGTAGTCGTACTTGTCGAGGAGGCGGTAACAATCATGCTGAACTTGCTGGTTGAGCTTGGCTCTTCCTTCAACTGTAGGCGAGGCGAAGTTGTGGAGGCAAGTCGGGCTTGTAGACGGGGTGAAGAGACGAGTTGCTCAAAGGCGAGACCAGCTCCGTGTTGCAACGCGGGCCAGCTGTCCCGAAACCACCGTCTCACAAGCCGCTTGATTGTAGAAGTTGTTCTTGTGGTCAGCACGGCGAAGATGACTTGAACCATGGTGTTTCATTGGCGAAGTCTGGTGCCAAAGCAGGAGAATTGCGGAGCGTGAAGCCATGTTGTCGCAGTGGCGCTGCTCGGATGAGCTGTTGTCGGCGGAGCATGAAGGGCTGCAGCAGAATGTTGCAGTGGCGCCGCCCGGATGAGATGTTGTCGGCAATGCATGAAGCGCGGCAGCAGAGGGTCGCAGGCGTCGCTCGGATGAGCTGTAGCTGGTGTAGCAAATCGTGTAGCTTGTAGGCGGCAGCAACGGAGGTAGTCTTGTCCAGTGTCGTAGCGTGGCTTGCTGTCGTGCACGGTGGGACGATCCGCTTGAACGGTGTAGCGTGAAGTATCTTGTCGCAATCTTGTTGTGGAGCAAACGCAGCGAGTTGACTGTCGTAGATGACGCGGGAGGCTTGTGAGGTCGCGATAACTGGCAGGCTTGCCAGGTGTCGCACGCTTCACACGAGTGTCTCTTTCTTCAGCACGATGTCCCGCAGCAACAAAAAACTGAGCATATTTTTAGGTAAAGAAAACCTGAGTGATCGAGCAGCAATCGGTGGCATAAGACTCGACTCGATGATGTTGAGGAGTGGACCGTGCCGCTGAAGCTGTTGGCGAAACTTGGATTGTTGTCGGGAAGCCGGCGGTCGTAGAGACAGTCGGCGGAGTACGTGTTGATCTTGTCATCATCCTGAAGCGGGGTCGGCTGCAGCGGCATGTTTGGCGGCCACAGATGTAGAAGAGAGCGGTGTTGTGTCCGCATTGTTGCTCAGCGTGTCGCATCTTTTTCCAGAAAGTATCTGAAAAAAAAAATTATCCCGGCGGCGTCAAGCAAGTTTTTTGCTGACGATCTTCGCGTTGCATGGTGCGAGTGTCGCCGAACAATGGGGCGCGGAGTTGACGATGACGCTAGGTACTGGCGCATCAGCATTGGTGGCGAACTTGCTGTCGAGCTCGATGTATCGCAGCTTGAGGCGCGGACGTTGTCGACGCATCTCAGCAGTAGTCGGCGAGCGAGCAAGTAGTCATGCGGTGACGAAGTTGATCAGGCACAAGGAGCATGTGTCGATCGAACTTCAGCGAAGGGTGTGTCAACCAGCTACCGATGTCTCGTCCTGCCGTAGAAAATGTAGTCGCCTTCGCTTGGCGTCAGCAAAGGCTTGAAGTGTCGCAACTCTCTGGCTTGCTCATCGCATTCGGCTTATCTGAGAAAAAAGTACCAAATAAAACCTCTGGAAAGAGCGGTGTTCTGGCCAAAGCGAAGCTGGAACGTATCCTTGCAGTTGCTCGCAGCTCGGAAGCTTGATCGAGGACTCGTCGGCGTGGCTGGTCGTAGCTTGAAGTCGAAACATTGTAGCGGCTGACGAAGGTGGCACTTGTAAGTCCCATCCAAACAGAAAGTGTCGCGAAATTGTTGGCTTGCGCCAACAACCCTTGACAACAGTCTGATCGAGGCCTAAAACGATGTCGCTGGCGTTGAACTGCCTGCGCCCTGAGTCGTGTAGTAAACTTCAGTGTTGCCCGTTGTAGAGGAATGAAGCATCTCATACGGCAGGAGGAACATGTTGTAAGTTGTCACAGATATCAGACGATCCTTGATGTGACAAACGCCCTTGCAAAGAACATCGAATGTCCGATTTCGGTGTCGTAAGTCTTCGATGGCGCAGACGATTGTGCAGGCACAATCTAAACAGCATGTATCGCAGCCTTCGAAAATTGTTGTCGCCTTGTCCGGGTCTTGATGACTTGAAAGGTGATCATGTTGATGGCGGCCGCTAGAAGAAACTTGACTTGCGCAGCGTTGGCCTTGAGTTGCCGGTGTCGGTGCCAGCGTTTGCGGGCATTCGCATGGCTCATCGACGGGCAGGCGGCAAGGTGGCAGCAAGTGTCACGAAGAGCGAAATGTCGCGAGCATGGATGTCTAAGCCATTCCTTGACAGTTGACCAGCATGTGTGTGGATGATGTCGTTGCAGCGGTCGCGTAGCTTCAGTCTGCACACGGCGGCGCTTCTTGAAAGGTGAGGGCGGCGGAAGGAAAATGCAGCTGCAGAAAACACAGCACTTTGCCGTTGTGGCGGTCCAGCTTGTTGTCGGAATGCGGAAGCGTCTCGAAATGTATGACGCAAAGCCCTGTACATTTTCTCTGTCCGATTGCGGCTGCCTGAAGAAGATGTTGAAGGCGGCGCGGTGCGCAGAAGAAGACATCCGCTTGATGTTAACCGAGAAGAGTCTTGATGTCGCGAAAGTGTGTCGAGCATCAACAGTGCGAGGTGCCGGGCGATGCGAGTAGCGGCCAGCAGGAATGCTGACATCCGGTAGAGGAGGCTTGGCACAGTGATGTCGAAGAAGCGCAACTCTGTCCGGAAACAGTGACGAGGCGCGGCAAGAGACGAGTTCTTCCGTGTGGCGCGTTGTTGTTCCGCATCTGTGTCGCACATCTCAAGTCAGCGCGATGGAGGTGAGGGCGATTGTCGCTGTTGAAGTTCGGCTGGTTGCGTGGCGTAGACGCTTGTACATGTGCTCGTCGACGTATCGGACACGATTGTGCAGCAGATGTTGTACTGAGAAGAAGTAGATGTCGCGCCGATACGTAGTAGACATCCGCATGCACAGCAAGGAGCAGGCAGCGGAGGTTAGAAAGGTCGGATGCCGGTGATGCTGCAGCGCCATGGGTCAGTTGTCGCCTTCCGGTTGAATTCCAGGAACTCGGGTGGAGTGTCGGAGTCAGCATGTGGTTCCATGAAAAAGTACAGGGTTCTCTCTCTTCTTCGGCTCAGGAGTCGGAGTATGCAGCGCGTAAGTCTCGCTGCCATACGGCAGGATGACCTCCTTGCCCTCGTACTTCGGCTCGTTGAAGTCCTGAAGAAGAGATTGTAAAGGTGTGTCTCTTCATCGGCTCGGTGTCGGAGTATGCAGCTCGTAAGTCTGGCTGCCAAACGGCAGGGTGACCTCCGTGCCCTCGTACTCCGGGTCGTTGAGCTCCTGAATGAGAGATCGTCTGTCCTGGTTGGATCCGCTGATGACTGTTCCGAACTTGTAAAAAAGTCGACGATTCGTCCCGAAGGCAAACGGAATGACGGAGAGGTGACGTCGCAAAGCTCCTGAAGAAGTAAGCAACGTTGGGCGGCAGTGTCGATTGACAGGTGAACGTCGTGGAAGGTGACGACCATGTGGATGATGACGTTGTCGAACAGTGAATTGTGGTGTAGAGCGCCGCTGCGGATCCGGTGTCGCCAAAAGTAGACGCGCGAAGGGGCAAAGTTGCTCGGCATGTCGCTGTCCCTGCGCCAGCTTGAGTGTCGCATCACGAATCCATTGCCATGTGTCAGTTGTCGCAGACGGCAACCTTGGAGCGCCGTGGTGAGCAGCAGTAGCAGACACGGCATTGTCGAGCATCGCAGAGAAGGCTTGCAGTTGGCGTAACCAGGTGGATGTTGTCTGCGTAGCTGGGCGAGTAGGCGAGCATGGCGAAGAACGGCGTGGAGCAGTCTCATTGCCGGGCATGGCGAAGAATGGCGTGAAGAACCCGAGCATTGTGAAGGCGAACGACGAACATCATCGGCGAGCGGCAGATAGTTGACGAACAGGCGGCCATGGGGCCGCAAATGTGTTGTAGACCATCTGCTTGCTGTGTAGTTGTGCCAAGTGAAGAGCGCAGAGAGCAGGATACACCACATCAGCAATGCGCAGTAGATAGATGACGAGTAGACGGCCATTCGGCAGCAAGTGTCTCCCGGAACCAAATGTCACATCACCACCGTGTGTCTAAAAAATGTTATACAAAGTAGAGATAAACTCTAAGTTGTACAACAGGCGAAGCGGGAAAACAAAAGTGAAAAGCCAAATCAAAACTTTGAGAAAACAATAAGAAACATTTGAAAAAACGAATGACAATACCCGAAAATTAGTCGAAGTTCGCGAACGTAGAAGTTTTTCGGGTAAGCAAACGAAATTTCAAAAATTTCGAATCATCTTGGCCAACCTTAGCGACGAATCGTAGGTGGCGCACTCAAAATTTCAAAAAGGAACTTTACTTTTGCACATCCGTTTCGATGCATCGAAGTAGAATGTGCGGTAGTAGATGCTTGACATGTCCATCGAGCATTGAGCGAAGGGCAACGTCTTTGAGCAGCAACCTTCTTCCATAGAGCAGCTTCTTGAACCATCAGGAGTTGTGGAACACGCGGCAGGCTGCTTGATGTCGAGCGGAAGTCGACCAGACGTTGCACGATGTGAAGCCGAGTGTCGGGCGGCATCAAGCCAGGTGTCGAGCGGCGATAAGCCAAGTGTCGCGTGGCGCAAAGCCGGGTGTCGGGTTTGAAAAACTAAGGAAGATAAACTTCCAAAGTGATCCAAGGTGTCGTACAAAAAGAAAAGTAAATCAACGCGTGTGCAAAAAGTATTTGTACAGCAAAGAAAGACGCGGATCGAAATTGTGAAACGATTCGGCGAAAGGTAGAAAGTAAAGTGAGTTTGTTCGCTTCAGGCGGCCCATGCTTCGTTTCTTTCCCATCGTTTGTAGTCGTGTAGTCGCAGTCTTGATCAGCTTCATGTGCAGCACGGGTTGTCGTTGAGCGCGCGTCGCCATCGATGAGACCTTGTCGAAGCGCAGGAAGAGCTTGGAAAAAGTGTCGAGCACCCAGGCAACGTGTGTCGATTTCTTCTTTGCAAACGCCCGATGTCGTGAGAAAAAATCAGCGCCTAACTGCAAATTGATTGGCCAGTAAAAATTGCAACACCAACAGCTTTCTCAAGGCTGTGGGGCAATATCACCTCGAAAAAATTGTCGTAGTTGATGAGAAGTTGTTGCACATCACTCAGCGGAAGTGTTGAAGCATCGGTGAACGTGTAGAGTGAGCGCATATGTAGATCGGCCAGTGTTTCGAGCACGAAAACAGCTTTCTCAAGGCTGTAGTTGTCGAAAACACCTCGTAGAGGGGTGTCGAGTGTCGAAAAAAAACTTGTGTCGAACGGAAAAAAGGCTTGAGCAGAGCTTGGTGTCGATTTGAAGCTTGAAGGCTTGTAGTCGACCGAAGTTGCCTTGATGGAAGCGCCCATATTGTCGTCGACCATTTCGCACACTGATCACGCCATGTCGCCCGCATCCTTCTTGAGCAGATTGGGGCCAAAACGTTGTCGAGGCATGGTGAAGAGCGCCTTACAGCACGTGGAGCGAGGCCTTCCCATTCTCTAGAGCACCGCAACCGCCAGCGATGACCAATGGACACGCTTAGAAACTCTTTTCGCCCTGGAAAAGACAAAAGTAAAACCAAATAAACCTTTTAAAATGCATCCGATTGCTCCACTCGCTTTTTCTTCTAGTTTCGCAACGGCTGGACGACATTCACTTCCATCATTCCTTGAAAAACTTCAGCTGCAGCCGCGCACCTATCCCCATCTTGGGGCGGCATGGTAACACAGCATCCATCGTCCATATCCTGATTTTCTCTGAAAAACTGGCTCAAAGAGCCGAGAATTTCCCCAACACGGCAGGCTACCAAACGAATGTTGGGTTGTCGCCCAACGCTTACCACAAACTTACTAAACTTCATCCCTTGTCAGATTCCATAAAGCTTGAATGCCTCAGCAAAAGGGGTCCAAAGAGAAGGAAGGTGTCCGCGATCGTCAGACCAAATGTCGGTGTCCATCCATAGCAAAACACTGCTGGCCGGCAGTGGTGTCGAAGAAAAAAACCAATGTCGCGGGGTATATCCGTATGTCGAGGTTGAGCAGGTCAACGGCAAAAGGCAAATGACGAGTGGCCCGGTGATCACTACGGCTCGACTGCACCATGTCGAAAAGATTGAGCCTCCGAGCCCTCCCAGAGTGTAAATACACCAAGGAGAATAAATCCCCAAGGGAGGACCCGGATTGCCACCTCATTCTTCCGGCCCTGTCTGCACTCATTATCGGTTATGCGATCGGTGTTCAGTGGTAGTAATAAAGTGCATTTGCTAAAGACCTGCAAAGGATTAAGAGAACAGGTTTATTAGAACAGTGACGGAATATAATCGGCACATGAGAAAAGGTGTCTGAGGGAAATACAAGTGTCGAAGGCCAGGCGGGCCAAGTTTGGGAAAGGGTGTCGAAAGGTTGCATTCGCCAGAGGTTTACTGTGCTCCGGATAGTGGTAACCACGTCCCCGGCTCACAGCACTCTCACCAAGCCGTGCCGAAGCAACGACTGGCCGCAACACCCTTTCGGGATAGCGGGGGAATATGCAAGCATAATCACAGAGAGCGCCGGGAGGGCGCTCACACAGCCCGCTACCGTAGAGGTCATCGCGGCGGGACCCCTGGCATATTGCCAACCCCTATTATCCCAGGTAATTCATCCTCGAAACTCCTAGGAGATGAAATCTCGTAGGAAAGTTTCGACACTTTCCACTTGATTCCGATCAAAAATCAACCGGGAAAACCTAGAATTCGACCGCTGATAATAGTCGGATCATAGTAGTTTGCTTGTTTGTGATCATAGTCTCTAGTTTGTTTTACTTTGATTCCCGGACATCAGAGAAAATTGAAAAAAGCTTCAAAATTCCGTTACATTCCACTTGATTCCGATCCAAATACACCTAAACAAATCAATAAGTCTAGGTCGATCCTTTGTAGTCTGTAGTCTCAATTTCCATTAGCGCGTTTTTTCAAGAATTAAAGGAACTGGAAAGAGACCATTTTGGATTCCATACAAATTTTGACGCAATCGCAACGCGCGACGCATTACGCTATTAAAAAGCCTAATGCGGTTATTGGAAATTTATTTGGAACCCATAGCCGCCTTGCCAATCCCTTTAATACCTCTAAATCTCCGAAACCTCCGCTACTTTCCGCTCATTTCCGATCAAAAATCACCCCAAAAATCGATAGCTTGTCCCTCGAAATCATACCTCTCATTTGCTAAGATTTCCATCATCTAATCACCTCAAAATTTGGGCTTTCCCCACCTCTTAAACTCCCTGAAAAGGTCTGATACCTGGGGGAGACTTGCTCTCGGGCTATCGGCTACTAGAAAAAAGTGAGAAGATGGCTGTCATAACGAGGGCATCTAATCCCCCCTTTCTAACCCCAACACCACCCCCAAACCCCCTCCCCACCACCACATACACACAAGATGGATGTGTCGCCAGTGTCGCGCTCTCGGTCTCTTCTTCTTTTTTTTGGTCTGCAAGGCCGCTAGCCGGGGGGTGAAGCGGTTCGGAACCGAACGGAAATGAGCAGCGCGGCGGAAAGATGATTGGTCGATTTTTAGCATGTACTGTGGGATTTTCGAGATAGAATCGATATTCTAAATGGAGCGTGACAGTTTTAAGCGCCTTTCGAAGCTAATCGCGATAGAAATACATGGCGTAATTGGTTGTCTTGTTCAGAAACTGCGCCTAACATCAAAACTTGGGGCTTTTTTCCGTCGTAGCGGGTTTTAGAGGAGCGTGCCAGGTTCGTGTTATTTTTCTTGACAAAAAACCAGCTAAATTACATGCCGTAATTGGTCCATTATGCAAAAATCGGCACTATCCCTTTAAAGAACGTCGCCTTTTCCCATTTTAAGCCGTATTAAGCAGGAATTACCTGGCGTAATGGCTTAGCCGTCCCGAGCTCTGAAAACCTTCCTGGCACTGTCCCTTAAAAACCGGTTTGGATCCGAAAATCCAAAAACCTTTGTTTTCTGAAGGTCTAACCGTACACGCCATGTATTTCTTAATTCCGGTAAAAATTTTGCGGGCATGTTCCCTTGAAAAAAAGCTTTTTGCCCATTTCTTCTTCGCCCAGACGATTTTTGTACATGGTGCTTTTTGCTATACGAAAAATCGTGGGGCGTTCCCCCGATTTCCAAACAAATCCTGAAAAAAGCCGCCCAAAATGAGTCACAATTCGTTCCACCCACATCCACATTTTTCATCTGTGTGTCGGGCCGCCTAAAATTTGATGAAAATCGAATCCGGGGGTTGCTAAGGATTGCCAACTCATTGCAGGGGAGAGAGAGAGAGAGAGGGAGAGAGATAGAGCGAGTGAGAAAAGAGTTTAAATTTGGGGCTCTTGAAGCACAAAAAAGAAAAGAAGAGAACTACTGACGCACTTTTCACTCCATTCCCCCGCGCAGAGCTTTGGTCAAGAGGGTCAACTGGGTAAATATTGAAGAATTGGGCCCGGTGAGAAAATTCTTGAAAATCGGCATGGGTCCCGAGACGAACCAGCGAAAGAAAATGCCTTACACAAAAATGTATACAAAATAAATTAATTTCCTCTTTTCAGCCAGCAACTCCTTGGATGAAGTCGGCCAGGGTGAGTCTACTTCGGATTTTTTTGGAGCTGATGTTATCGATTTAACGCAGATTTTCTACCAAATTTCTGCATTTTCTACATTTTCCTAAGACATAGCCCCGCGGGGATTGCAGAATTATTTATAAAACTCCTCGTTAAGCGATTAAATAGAAATGTGGTTTTCGCCGCGGGCTAAAATTGGACTTATAACCTGTTTTTAGTCGACTGAAATCGCTCAAAAGTACCAAAAAACAACCCCATCCCGAAACTGGGTCTAGACAGCTACGTGTCGTTCCAAAACACGCTTGAAAACCTAGTAAAAATTTTACTATGCTTTTTAGTATTGTACTACCAAAGCGCCACAAAGTGAGATTTATGCGTTATTTGGAGTGCCGCGTAGTTGTCAAGACCTAGTGAGATTCAAACGTCTATTTTAAGCTTTGTGGCTCCTTTAAAACAATTTTTTAGCATCACCGAGGGTACGCTTAAACCCAATCAACTCGATACATTACTAGGACTAGACAGGCGGATTCAGGCGCCGCTGATTTGCGGGTTCAAGTAGTTTTCTAGACCCAGTGAGTTCCAGGGGTCGATTCTTGGCTTGCACGTCCCTTTAAAACGATTTTCTAGCATTTCGCGCCCATATTTCACCATCGCATTAGCCTCGGCGGCCACATTTCGCGGTCTCGTCCTCATTCTCTCTGCGGATGATTGGGCGAGCTTCTCGTTGCCCCGCTGGGCACTTTGGCAGTTCGGCCGTTGATCGGCATATGTCGGAATAGTTGAAAAACCGGGCCCTAGCCTTTCCCGTTACACTCTGGGGTCCCACAATGGGGCGACTTCAAGGCAGACCCCACAGCTGATCCATGCCCCGTGGGGTGAAAATCTGCCAAAAAATGTCCCCCGTCGCCAACCGGTAACCCGATCCGGAAAACAAACCTAGACCTGACGGGGGATGGGTGCAAAAAATGGGATTTGTTGCGTATCATTGCGGAAAGTGTCAGTAAATAGGAATTTCGGGTTTTAAGGGGACACAAGTTAGCTTTTCTGAAATTTTCTGATCTTCCGGGGCCAGAAAGTAGTACGGAAAGTTGATAGAAATCTTATAAATTGTACTACATTTTAGAAAATCTTTCCTTGAATATAAAATGCAAATTTGCGTTTTAAAGATGACTGATTTTAAGATGTGAAAGGAATTGTAGAGTAAAAAGTTCATTGAAAATAAATAAATTAAAAGTTCATGTTGATAGCCTTACAAAACTAGATTTAAGGGTCTAAAGAGGCTAGCAACCCAAATTTTGAAATTTTTGGCTTTAAAAAAGACTGTGAAGAGATCGAAAGCCTAGAAAATCCACAACCACTTCTTTCAGAAGTCCAAATCACCATCTACCCCACCGAGGCCCAAATCCGTGATGGCAAGGACGCCTCGTTCGACTGTAGGGCCCGAACGGCTGACAACTCTGTCTACCCGCCGGTCAGGTGGACCAAAGTTGGAGGTATCGATTTTTTTAGGCATCTAAGATCCTTTAAAACCAGGGCTAAAGACTACAAAATAATCCTAAAAACTTTTCAGGCCCTCTTCCCCCGAACGCGCGCGAGAGCTCTGGTCGTTTGACCATCTCGCCGGTGTCGGCCTCTGACTCTGGAAGTTACGTCTGCCAAGCTGTGCATAATGGCCAGACCGTGGAGGCTACTGCGAATTTGAACGTGCTTAGCTGTAAGTTTTTGCATGGGATAGGGGTGGCTCAGACTCAGTTTGGGCTTAGCTTAAGCTTAGCTTAGTCTTGACTTAGCTTAGGCTATCTTGGGCTTAGCTTAAGTATAGCTTGGGCTTGGCTTAGTCTTAGGCGTCGATAGATCACACCCATAAACCCATTTAGTCGGCCCCCAAGAACTCCAGGGAATCCTGCCCACCTCCAAGGCGTGCGGACCTGACGAGCGACAGTGCGGAAACAACGAGTAAGTTTTTTGCTTTTGCGTATCTCGATTGACAGCTCAACTACGCTACATTCCAAATTTCAGATGTGTCAAGAACGAGTACGTCTGCGATGGCGAGCCCGACTGCCGAGACCGTAGCGACGAGTTGAACTGCCCAGCCATGCGTCAGTGCGAGCCGAATGAGCATCGGTAAGTCTACACCGATGAGCTTCCCAGCGCCGTTCAGAGGCTTAGGTTTTTGAGATTTTATAGTTAGCTTGGCACACTTAATTTACGTTTATAGATGCAACAACCAGCGTTGCGTGCAAAAGATGTGGCTCTGTGACGGAGATGACGACTGCGGTGATGGGTCCGACGAGGTGAACTGTGGTGAGTTATTTGCCTATATTTTTCAAGCCTCTAACTGACTTTCTATGACCATCCAATCTTCTGCTAAACTTTTCCGAATGTCAGATATTTGGCCGAACTCCTTCGACTTAGCGGTTTTTTTTTGAAAATGAAAAAATGTGATTTCCTACGGGTTTTTTAAAGCGACTAGTAAGCGCTAAATTCGACGTTTTTACTTGTCTCTGTCTCGACACTTTCGTGAAGCACCAAAAACGCTTTAAATAGCCTTTTTTCATACCTCGATAAATTTGAAATTTCGGGTTTATGGGTGCCTCATGGTTGTCGAGATCTAGTCACTTCAAGTTCGATTTTTCGACTTCCTAGGCTCTTCAAAACCCATAATTCCCGGTTTCATTTTTCTATTGACCTTTTGTCGAAACGGACATCAACCCATTTGAATCCCCAATGAATGGCAACAATTGCCCTCTTCCCAGTTAATTCGAAGGCCACTCTTTGGTAGCCCAAAGAGGGCGAGAAATAGCGCGCACCACCGAGCCCAAACCGTCGATCGTCGAGCGGAAACGGCGGGGCGTCCTCGAAACACCCCGGCCGAAAAAACGCTCCCGAAAAACGGGGCGGCGGCTGCGCGAGAAAATGGAGGGCGGGAAACGGTCTTGATAATGGGCTGAAAAGCCCCCCATTATCACACCACAACCACCAAAGGAAACTGAGAAGGGGTGAGACAGCGCAGGAGAGAGAGCGCGAGAGAGACAGAGAGAGCGAGAGAGAGAGCGAGAGAGCTTGAAGAATTCGCGGTTTGCGCTCGCCCGTCCTCAATCGGCCCGAAATTGGGGATAGATAGGTTGTTACCTATTGCCGATTGTCCCCCCCCCCAGCCGCTTAGCAATTGAGAACAGGGTTTTTTGGACGCTTTTTATTTGACGGGCGTGCACATAGTAGCGTAGTAGGAAATGGCGAAAAAAAATGCCCAAAAAACGGAATTTGGATCGAAAATACGCGAAAACCTGGTGCTAAAAACAATTCAAATGGCCCAAATTTCTGCTTTGATTGTTTTAAAGGGACTGGTAAGTCGCAAAAATCGACCCCTTCAGCCTACTAGGTCTCGACAACTAAACGAAAAGCCAAAACACAAAGACTAAAGCCTAGTTTTGGCCCAACTGTCGCTTAAATAGTCTAAAAACAACCTGGCTTGCGTAATTCGGTGTTAAACGTAGCTGTCCAGACCTAGTCGCTGAACGAGATCGATCCTGGGGTTGTTAGTCCCTTTAATATATAATATTTCTATGTATTTATTACATCATTAACAAATACATAGAAATCGGTCGTATTTAGCGTGATGTCGAGATCTCCTAGGCTCGAATAGGAGTTGACTTTCGGCTTGTTAGTTCCTAAACCGCAAAAAATGCCGATCACGAACCAGCTTTCATTTGAGAAAATCGTAGCAGTCGAGACCCAGTCAGAAAAGTCGATTCTTAGCTTTTCGGTGCCTTTAAAACGTAAAAATTCGGTCATAAATTTGATTTTCAGGACATGCCGCCCCTGGCGATACCTGCAAGAAGACCGAGTTCAAGTGCCACGATGGCCAACAGTGCGTCCCCTCATCCTTCCACTGCGACGGCACTAACGACTGCCGCGACGGATCCGACGAGGTTCGATGCGGCAAAGGACCCAGAGGCCCACGTGGGCCCAGACAACTAGCCGGCCCATACCGGGGCCACCAGGCCTCCTACGGCCAACAGGGCCAACAACCCGCCTATGACCAATACGGGCGCTATGTGGGCCAAAAACCGGGCCACTACCAGCCCCCGGCGGCCCCCCGCCACGACGTACAGTACCCGGGCCAACAGTTGCCGGTTCGTTAGCCCACCCCACACCTGCACAGCACCACCACCACTTTACGCCTACCCGATTTTTAGTTCCGCAACTTTCCGCAGTGACGCCGGGGGTTAGAGGGATTGGCAAGGCAGGGTTATGGATTTTCTTGGATCTGAATCGATTACGCAATGCAAATACTTGTGCGCGTTCCGCGACCGAATCCATAGCCAAGATTTCCATCGCCAGGTCTTGCCCGTCCCTTTAATCCAAGATTTTTTTGATGCTCTTCGCTGAATTCTCGGGGAAGCTGTGCTGGTGGTAGTGTGGGTGTGCGGGTGGGGATTCTAGGGAATTCCGAGGGGAAACTAATTACATGCAGAATATCGTAAAGTATCGTACGTCATTAGCAGCACCCCGGAATTTCCTTGAGTCCCATCCCAAGATCTCTAGGAACTAACCAGCTGCTGCTGTTGGCCCAGGTAGCTGTACCGGTCCGGTAACAATTTTTCTCAAAAATGCTTTCATTCATCATCACGAAATTTCTGCTGGAAAATCGAAATCGATATTCTAAAGGGACTGGGAATTTAGAGAGAGAGAGAGAGAGAGAGAGAGAGAGCGAGAGAGCTAGACAATGAGAACGCGACCCTGGCTTCCCAGTCCCTTTAAAGCCTCCAAAACCGTATCTAACTCCAAATTTTTAGATTGGTTGCGTCCAGCCGACCGTTGTGGAGCCCCCAGAGCCCCGTCTCCACGTCCAACGGGGCGCCACCTTCGAGCTGAAGTGCAAGGTGGGTTACATCTACTGGACTCACTACGTTGAACTCGTTCAGGCCGTCGCCGTCCCCGAGCCGTACATCAACTGGCGTCTGAACTGGGGCCCCGTTTGCGAACCCCCACGTTGTGTCCAAACTTCCGAGGGTGGAGTTGGTGTGCTGACCGTCCAGGATGCTCAGTACGTTTTTTGGTCTAGAACTTTGAGAGTACTTCGTAGAATTTGTGCATAGTACGACATAGTACCTCAAATGGCGGGATACCTTGAAATACCCCCTTTTTAGGCCACTCGACCAGGGAGCGTACACCTGCGAGGCCATCAACGTCAAGGGACGCGTATTGGCCACTCCCGATTGCATCGTCCAAGTTGGAGATGGAGACGTTCAGCCCCCACCGCCACCACCCCCACCACCAAGGTACGGTAGAGGGTCTGCAACTTAGGACTGTACCTCTGCGTACGTCCATAGTACTGGAACGTACGAATTTTTCGGAAAAAGGATGACCTTGAAGCAATCCGAAATTTTTTTATGACATTTCAGATACTTTTTTACTTGTGGATACGGTAGCGCTATTTTTTTAAGACACGACAGTGAAATACGTTTATTGTACTGCTACGTACGGTTTTCTAGAAAAATTCGGAAGTCGTGGCGGGACGCAAGAGTTTTTTAGTTTTTTTACGGTACGATACGGCGTCTAGAGTATTGAAACGTAGCGTCCATAGTACAGCTACGTACAAATTTTATTGGAAATTCGCTTTTATAACAAATTTGGAGTGTTTTTACATACATTTTGACTATTAACATTAAAAACTACTTGTTAAATGAGAATCCGCTTTCAATATGCTCAAAAAATCGTTCACCTTTTAGCGAGTTCCCCCAAGAAATCCCGAACACCCTAGATGAAAGGTATACATCATCCCCAATTCATTAATTTGCATTAAACCGATCTCGATTCGGCATGAAAATTACGATACGATACTATGAACATGTTTTTAAGAACCACCACAACAACCACCCACAGACCCCCACCACCACCTCCACCGTGAGTAGAGTGGTGCGAAAAGTCGATTGAAAAAAATCGAAAATCCCACTTCTACAAGATAACCCAGTTTAATACCCTGGTTATATCGAATTAATGCCACTGTCTATACCTTCTAATTCTACTATTTACTATTTATTAAAGAGTACTATTTACTATTAATGCTATGTACTAGATCTAAATTTTAATACCGTAATTTAGCTATAATGGCTCGAGAGTGTACCCACCGACGTAAGTAAAAACATTCATTTCGTGTTTTAAATTTTTTAAACTATTTTTATTCAATTTTTAAATATTTTAATTTGCAATTTTTTGAGCTTTGTTTTGATTTACAAAAAGCCATCCTTTTTAGCCTTAAAAAGAGACAACGAAAAACGAGAGAAACGAGAATCGAGCGACAGTAAGAAATTTTTAAATTATTTTTATTTCTGATTTTTGTAGCTATTTTTCCATTATTTTTGAAATTTTAGAGTTCCCGCCGGTCGGGAATCTTGGTACCAACCACGCCACCGGTGCGTGAAAAAAATAGCAATTTATCATTTTTTATAAAATTTTTAACCTTTTCCGCAACCCCTTTCAGGCTAACTTTTAAAATTGCATTTTCTCCAATTTTGCTTGTATTTTTAGCCCTACGACCACACCAAGATATATTCCGCCTCCACCGTAAGTGTAGCGTGATGCATGGTACCTTAAAAATATTGGAATTTACTAAGATTTAAACTGTCATTTTTAGCCCTCCCATTACCCCGCCGCCATACGTTCCACCAACGTAAGGGTGGCTCGAAATTCTTCTAAAATGGCTAAATTTTCCAAATCCTTTTTTCGTATTAACTTAGTATAACTCTATATATAAAATACAAAATATAAATATACAAAATTAACCGATACTAAATTCGAAAATATTAATATCCTCGTATTGAATGGTTTACGGAATTTTCAACACTTTCAAGGGTCATACATTACCTTTTAACTTCAGATTACTGGTTAAACTTAAACATAATATAAAACATAAAATACATAAATCTCCTAAATACTATAATAATGTTTTAATACCTTTTAAAAGTCTAATCGATTTAAGACGATCCGATACCTTTACCTCAAAATAATTCCCCGCATCAAATGAATTATTCCATCACAACTTCTACGGTCTTCTATACCGCTCCCCCGACTATACCGCTGACATTTCGATCCATATTTGTCATTTTTGAGATTTAACTATTCAAATTTAGGCCCCAAGTCCAGTGCGACGTTCGCGGCTCCGTCCAATCGTACCAGCAGGAACGCTGCGAATGCAAGGTTCGTTTTTATAGCAATCTTAAAGGGACCGGAGAGGCAAAGCTATTTGTTTTTGATGGAGATTGGCGGTTTTTAAAGCATAAAGAAACGGGGCTTAAACTTGTAAATTTTTTCTATTACCACCGTACCTCTTTGCAGCCGCTCGTGACGGGACCCCGTTGTGACCAATGCCAGCCCGGCTCATTCCACCTCTCCGAGAAGGCCCCGCAGGGATGCATCAAGTGCTTCTGCTTCGGTGTCACCAACCAGTGCCAGAGCTCCAGCCTCTACCGCACCAAGGTTAGTGATTTATGTCTGAGTTTTTAGCTTGTACTCTACGTGTACGATGTACTCTGTAGCATTGTGGAATTGTCGAAACGCTTCCGAGTTTGTAGGCGTTGTTAGCGTAGTGCTCAGGTTTATGCCTGGGCTTAGGATTGTCTTAGGATCAAGCTCTTGCTCACACCATCCGATAAAAAAAAAATTCAGTTGTCTGAATTTATATAAAAAATGATCTTTATATTTATTATTTTATAGTTTGGCCTATTTTCGAGAAATTAAACATTAATACAGAATTTAATGTTTTTGCTTGTTTTACTAAAAACAAGTAGTATTTGACCACTTAAAAGTTGGTGAATAGAGTTATTGTTAAAATTGCTAAAAAGCTTTCCTTATAAGTTTTCTAAAACGTACAAAATTGCCAATACCATATGCACTTAGTCATTAATGTTATTTGTGTATTGTCCCGTTTCAGGAAGCTGAATGTGTAAGTGTCCACAACATACAACTCGCGTCCATTTGTCCGGTCAAGTGTACTCTTGCCTGTCAAAACTCCCTTGCCTTCACCTCTATTTAGCTAATCCCAGCTTCAATGGTCCTTTAAAAGTCATACTCTCAAAACAATCCCTGACGCCGCTCGTCGCTAGCTATGTAATCTACCCTCAATACTTTTAAAACCCTCCAAAACCTCGCTAAAATCTCTATAAAATTGCTCGAAACCCCTTGGCATTAATGCATGCTCCCTGCTTGTTCCCCTGACCAGGCTTATACGTCCCTTGAAACCGGCAAAATTTCAGGAAGAGCTGCTGTTCGCCGGAGACGCAGAGGGTGTTACCATTTCGGATATTGAGGAGCGAAACATTGACTATCATCCGCAGTTCGAGTTCAGGTAGGGAGAGAGAAAAAGCGAGAAAGAGAGAGGGCGATCAAGAGAGAGCGAGAGAGAGAGAGGGCGAGATAGTAAGAGAGAGAGAGAGTGAGAGAGAGCGAGAACGGGAATGAGAGAGCGAGACAGACCGAGAAACTTGTAGAAATCCCATTTTTCTAGCCGCCCCGGATTCCTCACCTACAACGAGCAGTGCCACGAGAAGTACTGGCGCCTGCCGCAGCGATTCCTTGGAAACAAGGTCACCGCCTACGGTGGAAAGATGGAGTTCGAGATCGACTACCAGGGCACCGGAACGTTCACCCCCGACCCGATGGTCGTGCTCAAGGGCAACCAGATCATCCTCGTGCACCGTGTTCGTGATCAGGAGCACCGACTCCAAGCTGGACGCCCGGCTAGGATTACTATTGAGACGTATGAGGTGAGTTGGATTTTTTTTGACGCTTGGTATGACTCGTCGGTACCGTTAAAGAAGCGAGAGAGAGAGAGAGAGAGGGAGGGACAGAGAGAGCGAGAGGGAAAGAAAGTGAGCAAGAAAGTGATAGAGTGAGAGATAGAGCGAAAGATAGAGAGATAAAATGAGAGAACGAGAGAGGAGCGAGAGAGAAAGAGAGTGAGCGAGAGAGAGAGAGGAAGCGAGCGAGAGAGACAGATTTTCAACTTATCCATCTTTTTCTATAGAGCAACTGGGAGCAACTCAACGGCGCCCCGGCCACCCGTGAGGATCTGATGATGGTGCTGGCTGATTTGGACGGGTTCCTCATCCGCGCCCACCACGTCGAGGAGCAGGACTCCACCAGGTTGGCTATTTTTTCCTTAAAAACACGTTATTTACAAAATCCACGGCTTAAAAGCAGTAATATGGAATAGGCAATAATTTATCCAAACTCAATCAGATCACAATTTACAGCAGTTAAAAAAACACTGATATTATCGAAAAAAGCTCACGAATCTTTATGGACCCGTAGTAATGCAGTTGCTCTTCAAAAAAAAAAAGAAAAATCACATGGAAAAACCTAAAAACATGGAAATTTTTGGCGGGCATGGGCCTAGGATCTAGCACAAACAAAAAAATTAAATGAGCAAAAATTTGGATTCAAAATTCGGAAAAAATCCAATTTTTATAGGTTGAATTGCTGGGATTTACATAGATTAAATTGCATATCTTGCGGCTTAAAGTCGTCTTGGAAATTAAGCTTATCAAGGGCGCTAAGCGGCATTAAGCAGACACTGCGCCAGGGCCAATATAAAGTGCTTCCACACGATGAGCTTCATCTCGCGCTCGTGCACTTCTTCCACGTCCATGATATGGGCGCTAGAATCGAGAGGTTTTGCGCAATTTGAAGTACACGTACTTGTACTGCTCGATCAAGCTTTCCGCCAGTCCAAACCACGTGCCGGTGATTTTTCTTTGGCCGGAAGGTTTCCAGGTTACCTAAAAAATTTGGAGCTCAGTTTTTTTAAGTTTAAAGCGGCTAGGAAGCGCGAAAATCTACCCTTTCTGTCCACTAGGTCTAGACAGCTAAAAAAGCTTCGACAACGTTGTCGATAACGTGAAAAGCTCAATTTATTTTAGTGAATTTTGGTCGTCTTTATCGTATTTCTATTTTGTCGAGACCTAGTCGAAAAAGGGTCGATTCTCACGCTTCCCGGGAGCTTTAAGAGGCCCTAGAAGACAACGTTACGAATTCTTTTGCTACGTTAGCTTACTACGCTTTACTGTGCATTTCACCAACCTTTCCGACTTTCTTGATCGAAACCGAGGCCTGCTTGAAAAGGCCGGCCCGCTTCTTCTTGTTCCCATAGCTCTTCGTCGTGTAGACCCCGATAAACGAGCTCTCCGGGATTTGCTCGTTGTTTTTCTCGATTCCCTCTAAATTTGTTGATCTTAAAAAGAACGTTTCCATACCGATAATGCCCTCCAGTAGCTCCTCAAGTCGCATCGATTCCCGGCGGATCAGGTTAAAGTCGGGGGGCTCTAAAGGTATTTAATAATTAATGAATTCCTAAATATAAGGCTTAGTTTCGGCTTAGGCTTAGAAGCTTAGGGTTAGACTTAGCTGGCTTAGGTTTAGCTTGACCTACGGCATAGGCTTCGCTTTGGCTTTGCTTAGGTTTTAGGCGTCGGTTTCAGCTTAGCCTTAGCTTATGCTTAGCTTAGGTTTAGCTTAGCCTAGGCTTGGCTTAGGCTTGCTTAGGCTTTCTTTCCTTGCTGTCACGCTCCCTTTAAAGCCCCCCTCCCCCACCTCTCGACGACATATGCCCATTTTGCAACTCCATCAACCGTAGTGAGCGGGCCAGCCACGCGTGACAGACGTGATCGCAAAAGTTCGGGTTCTAAAATAGAGATATTCTCGGACTTAAGGACTTTTCTGGATTTCGGGGGATGAGCTATGGTTGGCCGTCCGAGGGGCCAGATGATGGATTAAGCCCACCGCCGGCTGGTCCCTTCCCCAAAATCCCAAAATCCGGAAAGTGCGTACCCGCTGGATGACATTCTTCCACAGCTCGGGCAGCAGCTCCATTTCGAAGGGCGTCATGAATACGATTTTCTCCCTGGGGAAGGTAGTAGTAAATTCTGGGCGTTGGACTGGCCTACCGTAACCGCTCCGAGTGCAAATTTCGATGGCGGTAGGGGGAGAGGCAGATGTAGCATGTTGTAGATTTGAATGGGGCGAACATCTGTAACAAATCAAATTTGGTCAAAAGATTGGAAGGTTTAGATTTGTCTTTCCCGAAGCGCGTACAGAGACAGAGAGAGAGGGTGAGAGAGAGAGAAAAAGAGAGAGAGAGAGAGAGAGAGAGAGAGAGAGGGAAGAGGGAGGGGGGGCGAGAGCGAGAGGAAATAGAAAAAGGAAGCCGGAAGCGAGAGGAGAGAGGGGGGGAGGGAGGGGAGAGAAAATAATATCCTTACTTTCCAAGGATTACCAAAGGCCAAATGGAACTTTACGAATTTTTTTCTGTGTCCCAAGTGACCCTAATTTTGCAATTTCAAGACTGTAAATCGTATTTTCTCGAGGCTATATTTCTGAAATTTTACGGCCAATTTCGGGACCGGAAATGGCCGTATCCAGGCTCATTGTTTTCGAAAACGGGGTAGCTGACCTATTCGAAGGTGAGTGGGGCATAAAACTAGGCTAAATATGACAAAACAGCATAGAAAAATCCTCAAAAATTTTCGCTGAATTTTGTCTTTAAATCCCAGCTGTCACACCACCTTCAAAACACCCGTAAAAGCCACGGAAATGTTCTCTGGAGCCTCAATAAAAATTCTGACAATTTCTGAGCGTCTGGCGAGGACAGTAAAACCAGTAAAAAACAGGCGGAAGCCCCAATTAGCCGCCACGACGTACCAAGCACCTGCCATCCAAAAAGAACCGGTCAGATGAAGCTGACGAGCCTAATTACGGGGCCGATTGGATGGAGAGATGGGAGAATGGGGCCCCAAAAAAGACCTCAGAAATCCATCTATTCTTGGCGCTGCTCTGGGCCCAAGAGGTCGGAGAATGTGCCCTCACAACAAGGCCAATAGCTCGGGTGGCCGCCCGCTTGAATTTAATCAGAAATTCTGAGGCCGGCGGACGGGTGGGACCTAGACGGGTGGGATCGCATTGTGTTAAGGTGGCGCCAGACGTACTTATATGTAAAAAGAGAAAGATCTCGAGTTTTTGGAAAAAGCGTGGGAGCGAGCTGGGGACTTACTCTGAGCGTAATGTTGCTCTGAAAAAATTCTCGTATGAATTCTTGACGAAACTTTTGACCATTGTGTCAGATTTTTCATAACTCGCGACACGCAACACGCCAACCCCATTCTATTGCGTAATGCATTGCCCTTGAGGGGAGTAAATAACGTACGCGTCGTGTGTCGCGGTGTCGGGCCGGAAGGAGCCAAAAATCCGAGAAAATACTTAACGCATTTCTTTAAAAATTTATTGAATTTTTGTATTATTTGATGACGAACAACTAGGAAACGACCGCAAGGCCGACAGCAACGTTCTTTCGTAGCGTAACGTAGCCTAGCATAACGTAACGCAACGTCGCGCAACGTAACTCAACGTAGCGTAACGTAACGCAAGTTAGCGTAATTTAGCGCAGCGTAGCGTAACGTATCTTGTGCGTTCGTGGGTTACCTAGCTGTAAGGTAAGTTAACAAAACGCAACGTAGCGGCAAGATAAGTAAAGCAATTTTAAAGGGAGAGTAACATTTCGAATCAGTCAGAAATTTCAACTCAACAATAAAATCTAAGGGATCTTTCGGTACTAGTTAGGGGATCACGTTTGATAAGCATTAATCAAAGATTTTAAGCGTTATATCGTTTATTTCAATTAAACCAGCTTTTTTAGCATGGCACAGACTTACTAAAAATACCAAAATTATTGTAGTTAGAGCATTAAATCTGATTATATATCTTATTACAATTATAATAATCTTATTATCCAAACGTTGGAATGTCGTGATTTTTTTCGATACATAAATTAGTCGGCTCACCTTTCCTTCACTTCCTCAGGCCATCCGTTTCATTGGCCCATACGCAAAATCGGGACCACGTGGGAGTGTGTAGCCTATAAAATTCGAGATCTTGGTATACAAATTTCGTAGATATGATGTATTTGTGTGTGTATCTGGAGGGTGGGCGGGCCTCTTCTTCACTCAACTTCTTATTTCCTCAGCTGAAAAAGGAAAAAAGAAGAGAAGAAGAAGAAGGTGGAATGGTTGCCCCGGGGATCCTGTGAGGGAATAGAGAGGCCCTCCTCCATTCCCTCTACCCTCCTGTACTCTACACACCTATTAACGGATAGAGAGAAGCGAATGGACAGACAAACGGACAGCAAGACAAACACGACAAGACAGACAGATAGAATTCACAACTCGTGAGGAGGGGCCCATCAATTAGCAAATTGCCATGGGAAATTGGGGGGTTGGGAGGTGGCCGCCGAGACTCACATCACTTTGTGAGTGCCCGGGAAATCGCGAGACTACAGACGACTCCAAAATTTTGGATCTGCAGGGAGGAGAAGCGAAAAGCAAAAAAATGTAAGGGGAATTTGAAAAAGCGTGGAAACTGGGATTTTTTCGACAAAAAATTGGTTGGAATTCGCGCATTTTTTTAGAACTTTAAATGCTCCTGAATATTGATAGATAAAAAAAATCGAATTTTTCTGAATAATAGATAGAAAATGAAAGAAACAGGTTAAAAATAAAATTTATAATCTTGAAAAATTATATTCGCGTTTTCAGCCTCGGCCGTGTCTCCTGGGAGGTTGCCACCGAGCGCACCACCGCTGACGGACGCGCTTTGGAGGTAAGTTCAGGTTTTGAAGCTTAGGCTTAGGATTAGGCTTATCCTAGGCTTAGGCTTAGGCTCGGCTAATCTAACCCATCCTCATTTGCCTCATTTCCAGGTCGAACAATGCCAATGCCCGCCCGGCTACTCTGGCACCTCGTGCGAGGACTGCGCCCCCGGCTACGAGCGCTCCGGCAGCGGACCGTACCTTGGCACTTGCGTACCCGTCTCTAGGTATGTTGTGTGTAATCTACCGTAACCTGTAAGCAACCGCAAAAATTCATGCCCATTTTCAGCCCCTACAATTATTACTATCCGTATGAGTAAGTTTTCATCTCAAAAAACGGTAGCACTCAAGATCCCCCCCAGGATACCCGCCACCCCAATGAATTTTATTTGGATTTTATTTTTGGAAATTGGTTCCTTGCACATGTCCACAAAATCGGAGATTTTATTTTTGGGAGTTAATAACGATATTTAGGCCCCCACCGGCTGCCCGTTGCAACACGGCCGGAGCCGTCAGCGCCCAGGGCCACAACGGACAATGCCAATGCAAAGAATTCGCTACTGGTATGTAGAGTTTGTAGCTTTCAGTAGATTAAATCATAACAAAGTTGGGCCCCCCCCCGCGCTGAAGCCGAACAACCGAAGGGAAAGGAGCTAGAGCTAGTCTCTTCCGGAAGAGCGGGTCAGAAACCCCAAACGAAAAAAAAAGAAAAGTTAGTTTAAATATAAAAACTTGAAAGTGGCCCTAATAAAACGAGAAGCGCCCCACGCCCTCCCGGCTGGCCCGCCCCTTCCCCTCGCCCCCTTCCCCAGCACCACCGCCCAGATAGCTTTTAAGTTACTTAATACTTTAATATTTTAATACTTTTAATTATGTTATTATATTAAACTCTAAAGCCACGGAAGGTCTTTAGGTAGTTTGAAGTTCAGCCATGGGGGTACTGAGCCATCCGGAAGGTATTTGGTAGTTTTGAAGGGGTTCAGCCATGGGGGTATCTGAAGCCATCCGGAAGGTATTTAGGTAGTTATTAAGGGTCGGCAGGGGGTATCTGAGCCATCGGAAGGTATTTGGTAGTTATTAGGGTTCGGATGGGTGTATCGATGGAGGAGGGAAAGGAGGGTGGAGGGGACATTAGGGTAGCGAAGGCCAGATGGTTGCAGTCGGAAGAGAACCTGTTGTTATATAGGGCAAGCTAGTGGAGACACTTTGGCTAGACTTCTGCTAGGCAAATTAGCAGTAATTCTTTGGGATTATCCAGAGGCCGAAGGCAGAAGATTGGCTAAAACCCTACGCGAGTGCGGCACAGCAAAGACTCCTTAAAAATTTTCTAAACCATTCAACAAATTCTAGGCAGGGTAGGCTAGCAGAGACACCTTGAAAACTTTCTAAAAAAGAGCAGCAACCCTTCAAAAGCAGGCAGGGAGGCTAGCAGAGTTTATTTGGGACCACGATCGATGAGAGCAGACAGTAGAGATCCTTTACGGGCTTGATACGCAAAGCAGGCTTGCAGAGACAATTTTGGAACCGTCTAGAGAGGGCGGGCCATCAGAGACAAGTAGTATTGGGGGCATCCTGTTCCCCCACTTTCCCGAGCCTAGGGCAGCCTAGCAGTTGCCATTTGTGGAATTCCAACAAGCCCTCGGAAAACCAGCAGAAATTCTTGAGGACATCCAAGCCCTCAAGTAACCAAAATTCCAGGCCCCAACTGCGACCAGTGCACCGCCAACTCCTTCCACCTGTCGCCCCAGAACCCGAAGGGATGCATCCCCTGCTTCTGCATGGGCATCACCAAGCAATGCCAGGTAAAGTGGCCCGCCTTCCTCCAAATTTGAATTCTTAGGCCTCGAGCTACCAGCGCAAGGCGGAGACCATCGACTATGGCCGTGGGGATCGCGATCAGCTGGCGATCACCTCGAAGGATGTCCACCAGCCATTCTCGCCACGGGACCCCGCCCAGATCACTGGATCTGAGATTCGCTTCAATGGATTCGCCGAATCGCGAGGACAGACGTTGTACTGGAAGCTGCCGGAGAAGTTTGCCGGCAATAAGGTGGGTAGGGGGATTTATGACTTGCTATCTCTCTCTCTCTCTCTCTCTCTCTCTCTCTCTCTCTCTCTCTCTTTCTGCTTACCTGACCATTTATAGGTAACCGCCTACGGTGGCACCCTGAAGTACGTTGTGAAGTTCGACGGCTACGGCACCCCCAACCAAGACCAAGACGTGGTCCTGCGCGGAAACGACATCGCCATCTACCACCGTGCCCAACTCACCCCGACTGCTGGATCTGAAAATGCCGTTGAGGTTAAGGTGCGCGAAAACTCCACTAAAAATTACCTACCAATTTTGTAGCTCTTCGAGGACCGCTGGACGCGCGAAGATGGTGAGCCCGTTGGCCGCGAGCACCTGATGATGGCCCTCGCTGATTTGGACACGATTTTGATCAAGGTAAATGCGATTGTTTTGAACGAGGTGACCATGTTGACGAACTGACCATGTTGATGACCTTCTCGCGTAGTTAAGCGGAGGATAAAAAGTTGACTCAACGATTTTAGGCCACCTACAACGATGACCCGAACGGCGCCTCCTCGCTCTCGTCGGTCAACTTCGAGTACGCCGAGCCGTACGGAGGAAACGGACAGCCAGCCCTTGAGGTGGGTTAGAGTTGTTGCTAGGCTTAGGCTTAGGCTTAGGCTTAGGCTTAGGCTTAGTCTTAGGCTTACGTTAGAAATTTATAACGATCGATTTCAGGTTGAACAGTGCTCGTGCCCGGCCGGCTACGTCGGCACCTCGTGCGAGGACTGTGCCCCCGGATACGCCCGAACTGGCGGTGGCCTCTACCTGGGCCGGTGCGAGAAGTGCGAGTGCAACGGACACGCCGGACAATGTGATAAGGTGCGTAGCGTCACCTAACGGTTTGGCCTCCTCGACAATTTATTGTCACTGAACAACTCCAATCAAACTTTCTAGGAATACGGCTTCTGCGTCGACTGCCAGCACAACACCGAGGGTGACAGGTGCGAGCGGTGCAAGCCCGGATTTGTGGGTGACGCCCGCCGTGGAACACCATTCGACTGCCAGCCCGCGGCCACCAAGCCACCGTGTCAGTGCAACAACCACTCCCCGAGAGGCTGTGACTCTTTCGGACGTTGTCTGGTGGGTTTTGGAGGCTTGGGTTGAAGCTTTAACTTTTTAGCAATGCGAGCACAACACCGAGGGTGTCCACTGTGAACGTTGCAAGAAGGGTTACTACGGTGATGCCACTCGTGGACGACCTGATGACTGTACTCCTTGCCCGTGCCCGTAAGTTATAGAGGGAGAGAGAGGAAGGGGGGAGGGGGGAGAAGGGGGGGGGGGGAAGAAGAGAGAGTGCAACGTTCAAACCCAAATTTCAGTGGTGCCTCCGACTGCTACCTCGACTCTCAGGGCCAGGTCGCCTGCCGTATCTGCCCGGCCGGTCTGACTGGCAGGACCTGCGAGGAGTAAGTTGTTAAAAAATTCTATGTTATTACTTACCATTCCTCTATTGCCATGGCATCTAACGGAACCTTAATGCCAAGCGTATGCTACGATCTATGGCCATTAATTTCTAGAAACCCATCTTTCAATTACTGCGAGGATTACTATCCTACGTTGTAAGTTGAGGACCGTAGAGTTGCTAGTTTTCTTCTCCGCTTTTTTCTTGAAACATTTAAATTAATTTATTGAATTTTAATTTAGCTGATAAGCTTGAAAATCAGTGTTTTATAATGCCGTTAACCCCCAAATTCCAGATGCGCCCCCGGCTACACCCCGAACACGAAACAAGACGGCCGCCGTTGCATCCCGATCGGCGAGATCAAGTCCGACCACATCGAATTTATCCCCGCCCCCGATGGTGAGCAAAATCGCGGCCGCCAGGCAGCTGCCGCAGCTGCCAGCCGCGTCGCGGAAGCCCCCCGCGCCGCGCAAACCCCCGCCCCCAGGGCCCAACAACAGCAGCAACAACAGCCCCAACCAGCCAGCCGCACGCGTCTCGTCGTGTCCGGGCGGAAACGCCGTGTCCGCGTCCGCTCGCGTTTCGCCAAGGCGCGTCAATAGGCGCAGCGCGTAGTGTAGCTGCGTTTTTGGGGGCGTGTTTTTGGTGGTGCTCAGGAAATGACTAAAAAATCTGATTTTTGTGGCTTACGGTGGAAAAACAGCCTGCAAAACTTTTTGTTTTTGTCTTTTCTGTCCAACCAAGCAACAAGAAAACCCAAAACTAAATCATTTCCGGTGCGCCAACCCCTTAAAAAACGCCCCCAAAAAACCCGCAGAAAATTCTCATGACAAGCACTGATCTACAGTATCTCAAAGCCCCCGGAAAATGCCCGCTGTGTCCCGTCCTTGTCCACTTTTCGAAAAAATGTCCCGTTTTCGCTTGTTTTTCTCTTTTTTTGTGTGTGTTGCCGTCGGTTTCCACACTGTCCACTGGAAAGTAGCGGAATCAGCGTAAATCAACACTGCCGTCTGTTATTTTGCCGTTTTAAAGGGGCACTGAGAGTGCATGGGTATGGAATTTTGTTGGCTATGGTTTTTCTATGGAATCTATCTTAGGTTTAGGCCTAGGCTTAGGCTTAGGCTTAGGCTTAGACTTAGGCTTAGGCTTAGGCTTAGGCTTAGGCTTAGGCTTAGGCTTAGGCTTAGGCTTAGGCTTAGGCTTAGGCTTAGGCCTAGGCTTAGGCTTAGGCTTAGGCTTAGGCTTAGGCTTAGGCTTAGGCTTAGGCTTAGGCTTAGGCTTAGGCTTAGGCTTAGGCTTAGGCTTAGGCTTAGGCTTAGGCTTAGGCTTAGGCTTAGGCTTAGGCTTAGGCTGAGGCTTAGGCTTAGGCTTAGGCTTCGGCTTAGGCTTAGGTTTATTTAGGCTTAGGCTTAGGCTTGAGCTTGGCTTCGGCTTGGCTTGAGCTTGGCTTCGGCTCGGCTTCAGCTTAGCTTAGGCTTCGATAGAAAACCCATAGACAGCAAAATCCATAACCACGCCTTACCCATCCCCTTTCGAACCCCCAAATTCTAAAACATGCCTAAAATTTTTCTAAGAATTTAGGCCTTTGGAAAACCCTCGAAAAAATCCTGAAAAACTGCCACCACCCACCCACCCACAACACTGTCACTTTTTCGCAAAGTTGAATTTTGCTCCATTTTTTATTCTTTTTTATATTTCTCACCAACGCCGTCCCGCGGAGAGCTTGTTTGTGTGTCTTTTATTTTTTTTATGGCTTACTCGGGCTCCACAAAATAAATGTTTTGCGATTTTGGGGCAATTTTGTGTTCCAGCCGGTCACGTCTTACGTTCACGTCTCACACCGTTCTATGTGTAATTTTAGGGGGTTTCGGTGATTATTTTTATTTCACGTTCACAGAATCACGCAAAAAAGCTAATTTCATTTTTAAAAAATTACTGAAAAACTATCTTTAATTTTGATAATCATTTACTAACGATCAAAAAAAGATACGGATTTTAACAAAAAGTACTAAAAAAGTATATTACTATAATAAAGTCCTTTCACATAAATTCTTTTAAGGTATCGAAAATTAAAACAATTAAACCAATAAAAAAGAGGGTTTTTACACGTATGTCTTCACCAACAAGTCACATTTTAATGTTTTATGTTTTTTTTAGTGTGACTAATCTGCGGATAACCTACAGTAATCCAGAGCGTTTTACAATGTGCTAAAAATCCTAAATACTGACCCCATTTGGTTGGCTACAGTAACCCGGTTTTTAGCACTGCTTCGCGTGCAGATCCTCGAGCCCAAGCACCAGGCGGTGCAGATCGGCGAGCGGGTCGAGTGGTACTGCCAGGTCGTCTCCAAGCTGGTGTGCAATTTACCCTATTAAAACGGCTATTAACATAGTATACTAGGCTTTTAGAAAATCAATGCTCAGTTAGGTGACGTAATCGATTAATTTCACGCCATAACCAATTAATTTCATATGGTAATTGGTTAAACCATACCCGACTGATTATGGTAATTAAATTCGCCGCGTAGCCTATTAATTTCCTATCGTAATCGAATAATTTCATGGCGTAACCGAATCGTCTCCTGGCATAGTTTAATGTTTTCAAAATATAATCTATTTTTTAGCAGATTCTAAGCTTCATAGCGTAATCGAATAATTTCCGATCCTCTCTGAACAATTTCATAGCGTAATTGAAAATGTACATGTAATTTCATGGCGTGATTCAGTAATTTCATGGCATAATCTAATAACTTCGGCTTGCATATTTAAAAAAAAAATTAAGTTTTCGCTTTATAATTCAGATTTTGAGTAAATTCTCAATTTTAAAGGTTTTAAAATCCATTCGGTTGAATTTACGAATTGACGAGGCTTTATTAAGAAATTAATGATAATTTACCTTACCCTCACTAACCCGCTTTTGCAGCCACTCGAGCCGGTGATCTTCGAGTGGCAACGCGTCGGCTACAGTATCCTGCCCGACGGCGCGGAAGATGATGGAAGGGGAAGGCTAACACTGCCCGTTGTGGGGCCTGCTGACCTCGGCGTCTACAGGTGTAAGGCGTACACCTCCACGAAATACGCCAGCGACGACGCGCACCTGGATGTGGCCACGGATTACGTGCAGACGAGTGCGCTTTTAACAGGGCTTTGATTTTAAGGGAGTCACGGGTTAAATTCAGGCTGTAATACCGTCATTTGCATCTTCAAATTCATTAGAAAAATAATCAAAATAACGCGCAAAATTTTAGCTTTTAGAGTTTCGCTATGAAAACAACTCGTGCGGTCAAGCCTGAACTCACCAAAAATCACTAAAATGCCCTTAAAAACATATTAATATTCATAATAAATCTAATAAGGAGTGAAAATAACGAAAAAGTGATGTATGTTTTTGAAATCACTAAATTAATTGCTATACCTATAAAAGAAAACCAATAACGAGTCAAAATTAACTTAAAACTACTAAATGAGTGACTTACGCTTTTGACGTCACTAAATTAATTGTTTTATGTAAAGTTTTGTAACTTCAGGAGCATAAAAACTCCGATTTAAAGTATCACCAATTCCCATTGCATGCCAATCATAAATACCTCCCATGTAATTCAGCGCGTCACCGCCCATTCGAGCCGGTGTACACGACCCCGTACCCGCCGCAGACGCCCCCCGAGGAGCGCCGCCAGGAGCCCCCAGCCACCTCGGCCCCGAGTCGGTGTTGTGTGGAGTGTCGCGTAGTCTTAGCCAGGCCACGCAAGAAACTAACCCCCGAAATGCGCTTTACTAACCTTTGTTTTTTGGTGTTAAAGGACCCGGAAAGGTAGTTCACCCTTTTTCAAAAACATTGGATTTGTAAAGAGGCGCTTGTGGCGCCGAAATTGCTTAAATTTTTTCAAAAAAATTGCCTTCTCGGCCCTTGCAATCCCAAAAGAAAAATTCCTGAGAACATATTACCCCACGATTAGGCCAACAGCACAGCTTAAAATAGGGCTCTGACAGAGAAAAATTGATTTTTCTGGCCGGAACCTGTCGGAATCTGCACAGAGCACGACTAGCTTTGAATTTAAATACTTTTTACAAATTTATACAATTTTAGGCGAAGCCCCACGACCCGTTGTCGACCCGTCGAATGTTGTCACCATCAATGAGGGAGACAGCGCTAGCTTCCGGTAAATTTTTGAAGGGCTTATACACGCGCTAAACCTGCCTTTTTCACGTGTCGCGGTCCTGTGGTTGTCGCGTTGCGGTCCGCGGCGAACCTAATCACAGGGTTCGCGGAATTACATAGAGTTATAAATATAGAATACAAAATTATACAATACAAAAATTTTTGAGGTGAAGTGCGCATTTTGAAACGTCGCGGTCACGCTAACGTGGTCCTTTTTCGTGATTTTTCAATGGGGTCAATGTGCTTCTTTCAGATGCTACGTGCCCGGCATCCCCGACTGCCAGATCAACTGGCACAAGGAGTACGTCGGAGGGCCTCTGCCGCACGGAGTCTACCAAGCCGGAAACCAGCTCCGAATCCCGCAGGCTCAGCTCAAGGACGCCGGAAATTACGTGTGCTCGGCGACGACGCAATACGGTGTCGGAACCGCGCCCGATACAATCGTCAACGTTGTGCGACGTAGGTTTGCTTGGGAGGGTTGTTAATGCATGAGAAAATGAGGTTAAGTCTGGCTTAAGCTTAGGTCGAGATTTAGGCTTAGGCTCAGGCTTAGGCGCAGGCTCAGGCTTAAGTTAAATGGTATTTAGCATGAAAAATATACTAAAAAAATTAATGCACTTTCTTGGAATGGAAAATACTTAATTTTTTGAGTTCGAAAGTGATACATCCCTAATGGTTTTGTTTTGTTGGCTGCATTTGGTACTGAATGATGCATGCGTTCGATATTTCAGCCGAACCGACGCAGGCCCCTTACGTCCCACCCCAAGTGACGCGTCGCCCATCCAAGAAGTGCGACACGAGCCGCAAACACCCGACTCACCCGCCACCACCGCCTCCGACGCCCTACCCGGTCATCCAGACCCCGCCGCCATACGTTCCGGATTGCGAGTACCCGCGTGAGAACTATTTTTGTGTTTATGTTTGTGTTTTAAAGGGTTTGGGAAAGGAAAGCTAGCTTGTTTGGGCGGGCAGAATATTAAAAATGACTCTGAAAGGACTAGGAAGATCTAGAAACAACTCCCTAAATCTGCTAGGTCTGGACAGCTAGCTACTTTCTACGGAAAAAACATGTAAATTTGATTTTGATCACTGATGTTTTGACAAAGATAGGCCTATTTTGGCAGTCCGTTGATTTGTCTAACCCTAGTGGTTAGTGGGGGTCGAATCTCGCGCTTTCTATTCGCTCTAAAGGGCCCGAAACGGCAGAATTTTTTCGATGTTTGCGAAAACCTCTGCTTGAAATTTTTGCCTTCGTCGGATTTTTATTTTTTTTTAAGAAATTGCATGTGGTTTCATATCATTTTTCGGGCAGTTTTTCAACGGCTCTTAATTTTTTTGCACATAAGCAAAAAGGTTCCCGGTATTGTTGCGTAGCTGATGAGGCCGATTTTTCGGGTTTTCGGAATTTTTTGAAGCCACCAGAATTTGTTCTTTTTTTCTAGGGATTTCACGCATGTTGTCGTTGTCCCTCCTTGTTTCAACGTCCGTCTTCTGAATTGTCAATTTTGTGGCCCCGCAACGGTTTTCGGTTTCTTCTAGCGCCCACGACGCCGCCGCCACGCCCGCGCGGCAAGCAGTGCGGCCCGCGCACGCAGCGCCCACCCGCCCCGCCCCGGCCCGAATACTGTCCATACGGACGTAAGCATGCAAAAAAATAGACAAATGGTCGGGTTATGGTAGAAGGGGAGGTACTGTAGATTGTCCAATAATTCTAAAAAGAAAAATTGGAAAAATTAAAGGAGATAGAAAGGCAAACGTAAAAGTTTTACCGCGACGCGACAAGTAACGTTTGTTACGCAATTACGCAATGAAAAATCTAAGTTATGCGTTGCGTGTCGCGGCCTTTAGCTTAGGATAGCCATATCGGAAAAATCGTATGTTCTGGCCTTAACTAGTCCATTAAAAACTGTGTTACGTGCAAAAATATACCTTTCATAAGTAGAACTATGCAAATTTGGCACGTTCTAATGAATCCAAATCTAAAGTACCCTCCAGATACCTTAACCCGACCAACTTCGAGTGCCATTTGTGTGTACGAAATAATCCCGGGTGACGGACTGACCGCTACATCGACATCTACTACCGCTTCTCCCGGCTTCTGACCCCGTTTTCGGCTTGCCATTATTTTATTTCAGTTTGTTTTTATTTTTACGTGTGACTTTTTGTAACGTAAAATTTGAAGTGTTGTCGCATTATCACTCATCCATTTTTGGGCTTATGACGTTTGGGACAACCACAGTAACCCAAAAAATGTCATATTTTAGCCGTGCAAATCCGCGTCGACCCCCCGCATCAGACCGTCAACGAGAACGACCCGGCGAGGTTCAAGTGCTGGACACCTGGATATAACAATTTGCCGCTTATCGTGAGTGGTTTTTGGATTTTTGAATCGTCTTCGCTAGCCTGCCTCTAGCCGTTAGTCTACAGGAATCAGGAACTCGGAAATACCTCCAGAAAAAAACGAGGGATCGGGTTCCTAAATGTTCTCTGCTGGTCTACATCTGGGAATCCTAGTCAAATTGGCTTTGCTAGCCTGCCCAAGTAGCAAACTCTGATGAAAAACTCTGCTGGCTTGCCCCACTAAAGCACTCGAGTCAAATAATCTCTACCGGCTAGCCCGGATACCAAGCATTATTAAAAACATCAGAAACATCAAGAAATCTTTGTTAGCTTGCCGCATCGAGCATAGCCTATTTTTATATAACATTAAGAATGTATTTTTAAGGTTGATTTCATGCGTTATTAAAAACGCATATTTTCTGACGCCAGTAAAAATCGAACTTTGGTTTCTTTTTTTATCAGAAAATTCCATTTGTCTCTATTTCTATGCTATCTATCACCATTTTCAATGAGAACGCGCTATCCTTTGTCAATCACAAATTACGGGTTTTAAAGGCCCTCAGAAGTTAGGCAATTTGTGAGAATTGATCTGCCGAGTTACTAGCAGAATCGGAAATATTTGTAATTTGCCTTTTGCGTCCCTTTAACCCATTTCTTCGTTAACCCCTACCCTATACTTTTAATCCTACAAAAAGCTCTTCTAGCGTCCCTTGATGTAACTAAAAATCTATTGCCTAAAAATCTCTACTAGGTTGCCCGAAAATTCTCAAAAACTACAATATTAAAATTCTTTTCAGTGGACCCGCCCCGGAGGCCTTCCCCTTCCACCTGGCGCCCAATCCAGCGGTGGCATCCTGCTGATCCCGCGCACCACCTCCGAAGAGATCGGGCAGTACATTTGCCAGGTCCGTATAATTTTGATTTTTATATTTTATCTTTATCTGAAACCCCCGATTTTAATTTGCCAACTCCTCTCCCAATTTTCAGGCTATCTGCTACCATCGGGTGAATACAGTATCAAACGCTAGAATCGGCTCTTTCTTTCTTTTCTTGCCTATCCCCCGTTCCTTTCCTGGCCCTTTAGCTTAGAAATTTTTCATAATTTGTAAAGTTATTTTTAGACCCATAACCCGGCCACGAACGGTCCTCTCCACTCGGGACCCGTTACCCTCGACATCAACCGTGCTCCTCGTGAGTTTTTGGGTTTTTTGGGTTTTTTTGCTACAAACTACAAAGCGTATCGTTTTTGGTTTTGTAGGGCTTTAACATACTATATGGTTTTATTTTAAGGTTTATTTTAAATTCTTAAAGATTACTTAATTCGGGGGGTTTGAACTTAAAGTTACAGTCGTTATTAAGAAAGCCTAGGAAGATTTTCTGCTTTATTTCTATGCCTTCTGTCACGATTTCCGAGTAAAAAACACACTATCCTTTGTCAAACACGATGTACGGGTTTTAAAGGGCCGCAGAAGACAAGAAATTTGTGAAAATGAATCGAAAATGTTGAATTTTGTCTTCAACGACCCTTTAAACCCACCAAAAACCTATCCACAATCAGCATGCACCCATTTCCGAAACTTTCCTGTGCACGCGCACGTTTTCTAGCACCTGCCGGACCCCGTGTCGAGCCCATCGAGCAGACCGTAGATGAGGGAACACCCTCCCGGATCCGCTGCTGGGTCCCCGGCCAGCCGGACGCGATCGTCCAATGGACACGCGTCGACCAGCAACCTATCAACGATCAAGCGATCGTCCGCGACGGCTACGTGACGATACAAAAGACAAGGGGAAGCGACGAGGGCGACTATCTGTGCACGGCCACAAACCCCAGGGACGGCCAGCCCCAACGGGCACCCCTTGCACGCATTAATGTGCAGGCACCGAAGTTCGTACAGCCGCAGATTGAGCAAGGAGGTTTGTGAGGTTTCCAAAAAAGGTATTTCGAAGTCGTCGGTAAGTTTATTGATTTTGGCATGGACTTCTCCTCTGTCCGCACTTTCTATCTATTCTTTTGCACAAAAGTGTGGATTTTTAGATCACTTAAAAAAATTGATACCTTGAAAATCAGTTCCGGTACTGGTCGAACATTGAATTGCCCTTTAAGACCATGCTGCAAAAAACTTAGCACTCAACACATAACCTACGGCTTATAACTCCCCCATTTTAGCCCCCGCCGCCCCCGTCGTTGACCCGCCACACCAGGTGGTCGATGAAGGCGAACCGGCCCGAATCCGTTGCTACGTCCCTGGACAACCGGATGCTCAGATCAGGTTTGGAAATAAGTTCGTACCTTTAACGGTAGTGAAATCAGATGGTCAAAGAACGAGCGCGACCCGCTGCCACAACACGCCAGCGAGCGCAATGGAGAGCTGACGATTTCGAGGACCCAGAAGGTTGGTAGAAAGGGATTTTGGTTTGGGCATTAGGCTTAGCTTAGGCTTAACTTTCCGAAGATACGTAGGTGGCACCTAAATCTCTGTATTTCTAGGCGGACGCCGGAACCTACACCTGCACGGCCTACCCACCAAATGGAGGACCACCCCAATCCGTCCCCGCCACGGTTGAAGTCAGGCGACCAGGTAGATCCGACTCCGTTTTTCCGTTTTCCTGCCTCAGCAAGCAAGCATCCAAAAGGCTTTGAGTGCCCTGAAGTGCCTGATTTGTGTGCCCGTGTTTGGCACGCCTGATTTTCTGAATCTGTCAAATCCCCCATTTTTACGGATCTTACAATCGATCTAGTAACAACCCCAAAACCTTGATGCTAACGATTTATCATGCACGGTGTGCCGCTTTAGACAAGATTGTCGTGGAAATTGAGCCAAAGGAGCAGACGAAGGAGGTTGGAGAGCCGTTCTACATCCGGTGCTTCGTGCCTGGACATCCTCACCTGAAGGTATGTTAGGAATTCTATAGGGGCGCTGCGCTTCATTCCTGAGAGAGAGAGCGAGAGGGAGAGAGGGAGAGTGTTAGTGAGAGAGAGAGAGAGGAGGCGTAGATAAGCGCGGCGTAGCACTTAATAAACCTTCGTGGGCAGCTCTGGCCGACGTATATCCTTTTCGTTGCACGCTACCCTTTTCCAGCTGGTGTGGCGCAAGGTTGAGGACGACCTACCGCGCGACTCCTTCGAGCAGAGCGGAAGCCTCCGTGTCCCTCAGGCTCAAATGACCGACGCCGGAGACTACATCTGCTCGGCAAAGGACCCATACTCTGGGGAGATTGTCGACTCCGAACCCGCCGCCGTCATCATCAAGGACAACGCGCTGCCGCTGGAAGGTCGACTGGGTTTTAAAAAATATTTATGAAATCCTGAGAGCTGCACGGATTTCTGTATAATCTTTTCAAAATTATAATGTTTTTCACTACGCGATGTGAATCACAAAAAATTAATTTTGCGCTGACGTGAAGTCGGAATTTAATTTATTGAGATTTCCCGCATTTTGCACGGTTTGGAATGGAATGTGAAATCTTGATTTTCAAAGCTCAAAAATCACGCTTCGTTTTATGCACGCATAGTCTTTTATCATTTCCAGAAAGCGGTGTTTAATCCGTGTTTTTAGATGCCGATATTGTCGAGATCCACCCGGCTCACCAGACAGTGCCTGAGCACGATAAGGCCAACATCAGGTGAAACTTGAGATACCTGATGATCAACTCAAGTTTTAGATGTTGGGTGCAAGGAAAGCCGGATGCTCGTCTCACGTTCAGAAGACGCGACGGTGGACCGCTTCCGGACAGCTCGAACGAACGCGAGGGTACTCTGTACATTGATGACGCCACTATGGTAAGTGGTGTTATCACGTTTATCAAGTTCTGAGCGTTTAAGCTTAGGCTTAGGCTTGGGCTTAGGCCTAGGCTTAGGCTTGGGCTGGGCTTAGGCTTAGTCTTCGGATTGACTTAGGCAAGGACTTTGGCATAAAACTGACAACTTGTAAATTACATTACAGGCCGACGCCGGAAAGTACTACTGTATCTACCACCCTGAAAATGGCGGCTCACCTATCGAATCCGACAACTCCAGACTAGAGGTCACCGCTGGTAAGTTCTAATCAAAATAGTTTTGTAGGCATCGAAACGTAGACATAAAAGTAGTAATCAAGCAGTCCAAGCTATTTAAAATTCTGAGCACGGTTTCCTCTAAATGTTCTGCAACTTGAATTTTTTTCTTTTACCCAGCAAGCTGATCTACTTGCTTTCCCTTTCCCTATGACTTTCCCCATGTTCAGCTACACCCTTTCCTATCGACACCCCTGTCTTTTCAAGCCTATCCTTTCTTTAGCCCAGGGCAACCCGCCGAAGCCCGAGGCCAGCCCACCACTTCTCAGCCTAGCCCCCGGCAGCCCCGGACGCTTCATCTGCAACCCCAACTCGGACACCCCGGCCAAGGTCCGATGGGGCTTCGGCTCGGCCAACGGCCCACTCCGCGGTGATGTCACCCAGGAAGGAGATGATCTGGTCATCAACTCGGCCGACGAGAAATCGGTCGGAGAGTACATCTGCACGGCCACCAACGAGTTTGGAACTGGCGAGGCACCGCCAGTTAGGATGGAGATTACCGATGGTTTGCTTTTGGCTTTGAAATTTTATTTATGATTTTTCTATCCCTGTCGTGGGCACCGTTTCTCCCTATCTTTTTATACACTTGCAGAGGGTTTGTTCCCAGCTTTAGCCCGTCAAAAAAATTCCAATAACTAGAAACTAATAACATCGGAAAAAACTGGACATGAATCTCGCCTCTGGAAATTTATCTATAAACCTTCGAAAATCAGAAAGAATAATTTCTATACAAAAATGTCATCCCTATAAAATGCGCCTTTTTTTAGTCGAAGAACCCCCAACGGCCACCGTCGTCCCGCGTGTCTGGAACGGCAAGCCTGGAGATCGTCATCAGTTCACTTGCGTAGTCACCGGAAACCCGACACCTGAAGTAGGGCTTTGAAGAGCTTGACCTTAAACTCTCATCTTCAGGTCTCCTGGATTGGACCCAACGGCTCCCCGCTTGCCCACGACGTCACCGAGATGGAGGGCAACAAGCTCGACTTTGCCAACGGCAGATCGGAGTTGAACGGAGAGTACACGTGCACGGCCCGGAACTCGGTGGGTTTGGGAATTGGGTATCGTGTCGTAACGTAGAAATTAAATAGAATTGCTATAAGTTTTTGCTTTGAACGCACAAGCTTGGGTGTGTAATAGAGCTCAGCGTTGCCGACCATGGACTACGCTGGGCTTCTTTGTGCACCAGTATAACATGCGCTCTAGGCATTTGCCCAGGAACGTTACTTACGCGGGTGATACTTTAAGCCATCACCTAATCGGTAGATTACTCTATCTATATCTTTAGGTGGGAGAAGCCTCCGACCTAATCCGTAGATTACTCTATCTGTATCTTTAGGTGGGAGAAGCCTCCGACCACGGAACCGTCCTCATCGGCCCGACCCTGCATGTTACCACCAATCCACCTGGCACCACCATCGTTGTCACCGTCGGCCAGGAAGTCAAGATCGAGTGTATCGCCACTGGATCCCCAGGAGATCCCGAGCCATCAGTATGTTTTATTTTTGCCTTACGAAGACTCGACGAATCTGAGCAACTGCAAAAACGTGCACACTCACTTGCTTCAGGTCGAATGGCTGCACGACCCGGGCCCGGAGCGAGGTGACCTCCCCGACGACTGGGTCCCGATCACCATCTCCGAGCAGTTCCTCCACCACCCCTCCATCGGCCTCGGCAACTCGGGCATGTACACGTGCAAGGGAACCTCAGACTTTGCCACCGCCTCCAAGAACATCTTCATCAAGGGTAGGTCGAATGGGGTCGATTTTTGTGGATGTATTTTAAGACTAGCAATATATTCGCTGTTTTGAGAAGAAAAGCTCAGATATCTAGAAGATTTTATGAGAAAAAATGGCTTGGAGAAACCAATTAATCGGTAAAATCTACAGAGCAACAAGATGACTCAAAATGTTGTTTTTAAACAACACTGGTAAATTATGGCCATAAAATACATAAAATAATACCTTTTCAAGTCCTTAAATGTATTGGAAAATCTTTTAGTCGAATATCCTGAATGGCCAGTTTGGCCCGCACAACCGGATCCGAATTGTAAGGAGCTATCTTTTTCGCCATTAAAATTCTGTTTCTAAGCTTTTCGATTTTATTTTTTTTGCAAATGTTCTGCAAAGTTTTGATTGATTTAATTTTTTTTATTCAACTTCAAATCTTTAATTCTATTGATTCAGGTGACCCGCCGCAAGGTACAGTACACAGAGATACATGGCATTTTCCAATTTTTACATTGTTTGCGCTTTTCGAACTTTTTCCATGATTTGCTTTCGTTTTTGACGCCCTTCTATTTTTGTATTTTTATTCATAAGCTATGATTTCTATGATTTATTTAGAAGATATCCATGTGCCGACCACAACAACGACAACGCCTTGCTACAGTAAACATTTTTCTGTAAAGCTAATTTCTCATGTAATTCAGCCTACCCGGAAGAGCCGGAAGAACCGGAAGAGGAGTATCCAGTCGAAATTCCTACCACCACATATAACTACGGTAACATTGCCCCGGGAAATCTACGCTATTTTTGTTTCTTCCAGAGAGGGTAGATCCGTTTGCAGACGAAGAACCGGAAACGTACACTACCACCACTACCACCCCATGCTACAGTAATTTCTAGGAATATCTTTCGATCACTTGCCTATTTTAGCCTATCCAAAGTACCCCGCGTGGCCAGGTTGGGACTTCCTTTCTAGTTTTCAGCTTTTCTGTTTTTTCTGAATTTCTGATATTTTCACAATCAAGTTTATAACTCGAAAAATTCCAGTTATGCCCACTACTACCACGACAACGCCTTGTTATGGTATGCTAAAATCTCCACGCCTAAAAATATCTTTTCTAGAACCTAGTAGAACCTGGCCGCCGAGGCCGGGTCAGTGAATTTCGCATTTTTTGATTATTTAAAATTTTTAAACTTAGCTTTATGTAATTTTTGTTGCGCTTCTTTCTCTATCATCTCAAAGTATGTAAATCATCGTAAAATTTAAGTTACTCGCCCGCCGGTGACCTGGTACCCGCCAATTCGGACAACACGACGTCCCAGACGTAAACAGTTTTCTTGCTACTGAAAATATTACCTTTATTACGTTTTTGAAAAGCAGTAACTCTTATTAGGGATACCTTACCGCCTGGATACCTTTGTAAACCCCTACCTTTAGCTCCACCCCCAAGGCCTACCACTACTACTACGACGCCGTGCTATACCACACGTAATGAAATATGATTTCCATTTCCCTTTCCTTCCTTTTCCTTTTCCATTATTTTTTTGTAGATTTCGATACTTTCGGCCTATTTAAAAAAACGCAGCTCCTTTAGCCCGTCCACCTCCTCCACCTCCCACCACTACCACCAGCACCACCACTCCTTGCATAACACGTAAATATACCTTTTGTCGGGTGAACCTCCTTGAAAATTACGTTTGTACTTTCAAAACCGTTCTTTTAGCTCCTTTGTGGGTGACGTCTCGACCACGCCGACCTCCACCACGTACTTGATTTTCTATATCCCTTTTTATGCGCTATTTCTTAGCTCCCCCTACAACTACAACAACAACTACGCGTAGACGTAATATACTTATTTTGTAGAAGTTATACCTGAATTTTTCTTTTATTGTTTGCTTGATTTTAATTGATATTTTGTTGATCGAAAAATGATTACGGTAAAAGCTTTAGCCCGGCCCCCACCACCCCCACCCACCACAACTACTTCGACGACAACTCCTTGTATCAGTAATTTTTATTAACAAAGGACTGGGAGCTAAATCGTGGACTTTCTACTGTACTTTCGATGATTTAGCCTTCCGTCCACTTCCCCCTCGACCACCTCCAAGACCCGCTACCACAACTACCACCACCACACCATGCTGGACTGGTGCATTTTTGAGCGATTTTTTCACCGATATTTTAGACCCACCATTCCCAATCCGGCCCACACAACGACGTAAATTTTTTGCTTTCTTTTGTCCTCTTTGGCTTTAAATTTCTGTGATAACTTGATTTTTTAGCAAGACCGCCCCCGCCCAGGCCCACAACTACGACAAGGCGCCCAACCAGTAATTTTTTACCATGAAATTGCATAGTTACGGCAATGAGGGCAGGCTAGCAGAGGTTCGTAGGGAATAGAGAACTGAGAGTAGCAATATTTTGAGGAAGTTAAGAGGTCTTTCAGGAATTTCTCAAATCCCAAAATTAACTTGTCAGCTCGTCGCCCACGTCCACCGCCACCACCCCCAACTACCACTACCACCACGACACCGTACCCAATCCGTAATAGTTCAGCTACTTATTTTCATGCTTCTCCTATTCTCTACCCTTCTTGCATTAAATATAGCTATTTTTAATTTATCATCTCTTTAGCCAAGCCGCAATACATCTACGTGTACCCGAAAACGACGCCGTGTCCAAGTAATAGTTTTCGCTATTTTCCGCTCTCCTTGGACCGCTACCTAAATACGTCACTTTTCAGCATTCCCGCCAAAAATTATCCGCATCCCGGTCCCATATCCGGTCACACAAATACCAAGTATCGATATTTTTAATCATTACGATTTTTGCAATTTTTCCCATACCTTAAATGATTTTGCCGTTACTTTAGTCCGGCCACCACCCCCACGTCCAACCACTACCACCGCAGCACCAGGTGCTAAAAATTTTGTGTAACCTTTCCTGCCCGGCTTTTTTCATCGTCTTCTAAATTACGCCTTTGTTACAGTAACCGAGCCACGGTACCCTCCCCCAAGACCGACCACTACCACCACGACACCCTGTGGTAAAAATTTAGCGGACTTTTTGCGTTTAAAGTTCTCATTGCTCTTCCTTCTAATTTACGCGCTTTTACAGTCATCGAGCCACGTTACCCTCCCCCGAGGCCAACCACTACCACCCGGAGACCAGGTGGTAAAATTTAGCTTATTTCGTCTTGGCGGAATTTGGCCTGCGCTTTTCTAAATTATGCCTTTGTTATAGTAACCCAGCCACGATACCCTCCCCCAAGACCGACCACTACCACCACAACGCCGTGTGGTAAATTAGCATAGCTTAATTTTCCTGATTTCGCGCTCCTTCTCTAAACTACGCCATTGTTATAGTCGAGCCCAAATACCCTCCACCAAAGCCAACAACCACTACCACTACTCCTTGTGGTAATTTTTGGCAGATTCTTTTTCAATTCTTCTTGATCTGTCTGTCGAAGTTATTTTTGGTTTTGTTCTTCTTTTTATTTTCCTTTAAAGAACTGAATCTATTACAGTAACCTACCCGGTCGAGACCACCACCACAACGACCCCATGTGGTAATTCCAACCCTAGTTCTATGAATTTTTGTAATTCTTAGTCACCGATCGACCCTCATGGTGGCCTAGGCCTGTTTTCCAACCTGATCGATACCAATACGGTATTTGCACCCTTTATTGCCGCTATTTTCTATACCTAGACGAATATGGACGTCAACTTGAAGGGGTACAACCAGAAGCTGGCCCATACATCGACCCCACATATGTGCATGTTCCCTATAATGGTATTTTTGCCATCTCTGACGTTGATAACCTTTTTGAAGGAGATCAAACAGCTGGTGGATACGAGGGGGAGGAAATTGGTAAGTTAACCGCTATTGGCCGATGTTAATTAATATCCATCTCCAGCCCTTGAAACTACTGATGAAAACGACATTTTGGCATCAAATTCGGAGAACCAACAAGAAGCCTACGAGCTGCCAGTCTCAGAGGAAAGGCCAGAGGGTTTGTTACGAAGAGAGCTATGAAAAACAGTGGATTCAGCAGAGACGGCAGACACCGGGCCCGATTTTCATCAGACACCTGCCCGAAGGAGCTGTAATTTTTCTCATAAAATCCGGAATTTAAAATTTAGACCAATATCGAGACCCGTATGATAGAAGGACACAACCCGTGGCGCAAAGCCAATGGGGTAAGCTGTAAAAATCAACGGAACGATTTCTTGAGCTTTTAGAAAGAGACCAAGCCGCTATTAAGCAAGAAGAGGATCTCTACAAACGCGAACAAGAGCGAAAAAGGCTTGAATGGGAGCGAATAAAGCAACAACGTATGGGTCGACGTTAGGCCGAAGCGTTTTTTGAGCTTTTAGGAGAGAATGAACGAAACGGAAATTCACGCTGGCCGGAGACGACCACCTATAAATGTAGGTAGCTGAGGGGAAATTACGGAACTGGGCAATTCTCATCCTGGACCTGGCGTTTAGATACATACCAGAACCCTTACGGCAACGGACAAAGTGGTCGTTATCCTGGTCAAAAGGTCAATAAAGGAACCATCGAGAGCATGATCGATCAGGGTAAGAAACTAGCTTATTAACGGTACATCTATAACCATTTTTTAGCCGCAAATCAGCCGAGATATCCTAACCACAACGGTACTACCTTTAACTGTTTTTGGTTTTGGTTGATTTTCCCAGTTCTTTTCAATCTTTCATCGATTCTGCTATTTTTTTCCGTTTGTTGATTTTTTCGGCTCCTTTTTATATTTGCTCTTCGTGATGATAATTTACGTCATCTATCCCTGTATTTTCAGATAGATACGACGATCGCTATGGTAAGCAACAAGGTCGATACCCTGGGCAATCAGTCCCAAAGGGAACCGTCGAGGGCATGATTGATCAGGGTGCGATTACTTTCATGTTCAATCGTTACCCAAAATTTCAGCAGCACGCGAGCAGAGATATCCAAAGCGAAACGGTACTCCCTTGACTCAATTCTATGTTTTGCTAATTTTCCTTGTTATTTTCTATTTTTGATTTATTTTACGGTATCATGCTTGTTTCGCTTCTTTTCCGCTTTGTTTTGATGTTAAAACATTAAATTTAACTATATTCAGCGGGCAGCTATCGAGAGAATACGAGATATGTTGACGACTTGATAAAACAGCGACGCGGATATAATTAAATTTATTGTTTTGGTTCTGGAGCCATTATTCTCTTCCTTTTCGATTATTTATTTTCATAATTTCGATCTTTCATCAAAAATCCTGAATTTTGTTGTTTTTACATTGCTACCGTTCTTTCACTCATCGTCTCCCACTTCTGATTTGGTACAAACCTTTACACGTATTTTTATTGTTGTTGCCTTGTAATAAATTGTTTAGTTTTGGTAGATACATTAAAAAACTGAATGAAAATACAGAAATCAACAAGAAACAAAGTTACAAAAAAGTCTAAATAAAACCAATTAAAAAGAAATACTCGAAAGGACTTCCTGCAAAACTTCGCACGGGATCGGGGCGCCAAAAAATCGATAATAATTTCCGAAATAGGCGGCAGGGGTTTTTCAAGGGCTAGCCACGCATTAATGGCAATAGATCCTGATCATAATGCTTCTTTTCCAGTTGTCGAACCATCCAAGATCGCCACGGTCACCGTTCTCGGTGGCAACGTGCAACTCTTCGACCTTGGCGAGCCGGCCGAGCTGACCTGTGCCGCCACCGGATCTAACCTTGTCGACCGTATTGAGTGGTCTAGGGTACGTTTTTGATAATTGGTTTTAAGAATTTATACGCTTTATCGGAATCACCACCATTTTCAGGTGCAAGACCAACTGCCCCAAGACGTCGAGGAGCACAACGAGCAGGGCGTGCTTCACTTCCCGTCGTTCAAGGCCAACTACGCCGGAGAGTACGAGTGCCGGTGGGTTCTCAGAACAGCTTTTATCTTTTCCATAGCCTATAAGCTGTAAAATATCCAATTTTAGTGGATTCCGAGGAAGCGAGGTCATCGCCACCTCCACCGTCCACGTCCACCCCAGCAGCGAGGACGTTGAGGAGGCCAGGGTAAGATATTTTTCATCCTGTATGTAAACCGAACTTTTAGGTTACCATCGACCCACCACGTGTCCGTGTCGTGACTCAGGGTGACGCTATCGTTCTGAACTGCGCTGTCGAGGGTACGTTAAGCCTATGAATTACCTTACTGGTGATATTGCTGCACGTTTTTTCTTTACTAACTTTGCTGTGGTTTCTTTTTTGGTTTGAGCTAACGCTTTAGCACACGCTAACCCGCACCGACCGGCGGACATTGTGTGGTATTACACGCGAGATGGGCTGAACGTCATCGGCGTGTCGACAGACGAATATTTGCATATTAACCGGATAAGGTAGAGGACCTAACTAGAGCGAGAGGTAGAGAAAGAGAGAGAGAACGACGCTAACGTTTCTGATTTCGCTTTTTTCATTGACTAACACCGCTTTCCACACAGCATCGACCAAGCCGGGTTCTACTGGTGCGACGTAGAGGGCGAGTACGAGACGCGGCGCCCAACACGTGTGATTGTCGTGCAGAGGTGGTGTGGTCGGTATTCCAGCTGCTGTACGTCCCCAGGACAATGACAATTTTGACTTAAAGCTACTGCAATTCCCAAAAAAAAACGGCGGGGCAAAAACCACAAAACGCTTGGAGTTATGTGCTAACTTGTTTTCGCATGTTTCGTACTTGGTGTCTGGTTGTGTTTGAGTTTGGTTGTTTTGTCTTTTCTGCTTGAATTTTAGTCTAACAGCTTGTAATTGCAGATCACTCACATGGTCTGGGTGCCCAGAGGCGCACCGCGTAGTTCCAACTGGGCTACGCTATGATCCTTTGTGCATGCATACCTGGCGCTCCGCTTGCACTTTTATTTACATCCGCTTTAATCCCCAGAACCTCACAAATTTCAGCTTCAACCCCCTATTGTCTTACCCTCATGTCCATTCCAGGAGCCAAGGGCAACGAGCACTTCGCCTGGCATCTGCTGCGCGGAGGACAGATCATCCGCAACCTCGCCAAGACCCCTCGGCTCCACATCGCCCAAGCCGATGCTGGAAATGACTACGGTGTCTACAAGTGCGAGATCGAGGACGACAACGCGCAAGTCATCGGCGCCGCCTACGCTGCCGTCACCATTGGACATTCAGCGAAAAGTCGGCAGTTCACAATTAGATACCTTAAGCCTTTAAATCAAATCTGATGTCATTTCCCTTTGTAAAATCGGGATCTCGGGGCGAAACTGCAAGTGTTAGGGGTTAGAAAAACAATTGACTCTCAATAGAAAACCCTGGATTTTTTTAGAGCCGGCCGAGATGAAGTTTGACGAGAACGCCGAGGCGGTGCTAAACTGCCCCGTGTACACGGTACCCGGATCAAAGGTATGGATTTTTCAGGATATTTATGGGCTTTTTAAGGTTGAGTGGAGCCGCCAGGACGGTGATATGCCCAGCAAGGTGCAGCAGAACCAGAGTCGTCTTGTGTAAGTTTTTAGAAAAGCATCACACCGTCTTTAAAAAATTGGCGCCCAAATATACTCGCGCAAACAAATGTAGAACTTATTAGAACCAAATCTCCTTATATTCGTTGTTCTTTTTCAGCATCAAGGACTTTGATGACGACACGGCCGGCCTCTACGTCTGCAAGGTCAACATCGATAACCACGTCGTCGAGGGCTACGTTGATGCCATGATTTCTGGTATCAGAAAACCCACTCCTGGTTAAAAGTGTAATTTAGTCCCGGACACCATCATCCAGGTTTTGCTCGAGCCGTCCAGCGAGAACGTGCAAGTTGGAGATCGGCTGTGGTTCGACTGCAAGGTGGGTTATTTTTTGAAATTTGGGCTGGGAAGTTGTTCAAGCTGATGAAACCTAGGCTGTTTAAATTGCATGCGATTTTTTAGGTCACTGGAGATGACACAGCCAACGTTACTTGGGTTCGGGAGGGAGAGGATTCTCTGCCCGACAATGCTCAGGTAAGGGATTTCACGCTCGATCAAGGGTTTTCTTTCTCTCTCGCTCACTCTCGCTCTCTCTGGCTCTCTCCCGCTCTCTCGGTGTCAGTGTTTTGACCAATCTACCTTGCCTCAGCGCTCCAGAAAAACACAAGAACACCCACGTTTTCAGGTCGCCGAAAAGCGCCTCCAGTTCACCGCCGTGCGCGAGGACAACAGCGGAACCTACAAATGCGTGGCCAAGACCCGAGCGGCCACCCTCGAGGCGAAGACCGTGCTGAACATCGGCTCAAAACGCAAGCGAAAGCACGCGCGCCGGGGCCGCCAAGCACGCCGGGGCCGTCGTCTGCGCGACGCCGAGAGCCGTCGGAAAGCCTTCGAGAGGGGGCTTTTCGGTGACTTGTTTGGTGGACGCGATTAGATGGCCGCTTTTTAGGGGCTTTTAAGGGTGTTCTAGGCGTTTAAGAGATTCTGATGTTCTTCAAGTTATCTAAAAAGTGTCCATCAAATTCTCTAAAACCCTAGCAACCCCCTAAAAAGTCACGTGCGCGCCCCTATCGTTTTTGTAGTTTGTGCCGCGCATTTTCTTTCATCGCTAATTCTCGCATGCTTATCCCCGTCCGTCTCGGTGCCCCGGTTTGCCTTCGTCTCCATATCGCTCAACATCCACAGAGTTAGCCCCCCTGTAGTCTTTAGTCTAAAAATGTCGAATTTTGTCGTCGTGTGCCATAATGGAACACCACTGCCCTTCCGTAGAAACCCCGCTCCTCTAAACGACCTTGCCAACTAATGATTGCTCACATTTTTTAAGCGGCTCAAAATTTTATTCAAAAGCCGTGAAAGGTGGCATGGTGCGTACCGGAGTGTTGTAGTTCGCGATACGACACAACTACGCTACACTCCCTCGTACGCCCCTAGCCGCCTTTTCTAACCCTGACATTTCCGGCCCCCGTATTCCTGCCAAAATACTGCCAAAAACAATCGTAACAACCAATCTGGTGCTCGAGCATAGTATCGCCTACAGTATTCCGTACCCCGTTAAAATACTTATCCCGTGGACCAACCCATGCTAATTCCAACGTTTCGCCCCTGCCCCTCCGTCGACTGTTTCCCTTTTTTTCTTGCGTGTTTGGAGTGAATAAAGGTTTCGATAGTTTGAGTGCTGTGGTAATTTGCATGTAAGTTACCGTATGCATGAGAAAGGTCGAGAAATTGCATGGAATCGGCTTAAAAATACACAAAACACCGTACAGTTTACTTACAGGATCTCCCAGTAAAATAACACCAACTATAACTCGGCGCAGAAGTATCAGTTCAGTACGATAGTTCCACCATTTGAAAGCCCTTGAAACGGCGAATTTTAAACAAATTTTCACCCGTGTTTTGATTTAAATGCGACATTTTACAAAGCATTTTAAACCATTCAGGAACGGCCTCTGTATCTAATTAACGTTATATTCCGGCCAATTTTTTATTTGGAAGCTCTGGACTAGGGCTGTTCGCGAGTTCCGATCTGAAATTGGTGGGCTGATAGAGTTTGAGCTTGCGCTTCTCACGCGCCAAAAATGTCAGCTTTCCATAAGCGGCCGAGATACAACACGTTTAATTTCGCCACAGATGCCCGATTTTCCAAGTGTGGTTTTTGTGTCGTTAGAATCGCAAGCTCAAACCTCCACAGTCTACCAATTTTCAAGTCGAAACTCTGTGCCGTTTTGCGAGTCATTACTGGTTAGGCATGAAACGATTACAGAGTTACAAATTTAAGACATCTACCGCATGCAGCTACTCATACTCTGCTAGAATTTCATTAGTTCGAGTGAAATTTTATGGCGACCCCGGCGACAGCATGGATTTACCAGCCCTTGCCTAGGACAAATTAGAGATTACAGTTTTAGTGGGCTTCCAAACGGAACCGCTCGAAATGACGCGTGGCATTGGGCAACAGGTAGAATTTGGGATCCGAACGTAACATCGAATTCAAGGCCCATTTATTCTGCCCCATACAATTGCCGAACCCGAAGTCGCCGATTCAATGGACACGGGCTGATGGAAAGGAGATGCCCGTTGAGGCTAAGGTTGATAGAGGTGAGAAAGGGAGAGAGCGAGAGAGAGAGAGAGCGAGAGAGAGCGAGAGAGAGCAAGCGGAGAGAGGGAGGGACCGATCTTGAGCGGTAGAGCCTTAAGCATCCTTTTAGGTATCCTCTCAATCCCATCCGTTCATCGAGGAGACGCCGGGCTTTATACCTGCAGCACCCCAGATAGTCTCGCCACCGCGGAAGTGCATCTGAAAGTGACAAGTCGGTCCCTACCTAGCCCCCGAATTCCCGTTGTAGGCTTCGTTCCAAACTTTGACGGCGCCAGTTGGATCGAATTGACTCCGGTAACCGATAATCAATTCGGCAACCTGCAGCTTGACGTTAATTTTAAGCCAAAATCGAATGAGGGTTGGTTCTTTGGGCTGGTTCCAAGCTTAGCTTCTGCCTCCGCTTGCCGCCAGTTAGGTATCCAAAAAATATACTCTAGGCCTCCTCCTCTACACCGATAAGGTCAACCCCTCACGGTTCGAGACCAATTTCCACGCCGGCGGGGTAAAGGACGGCAAATTTGTGTACACCTACGATATTGGCCATGGTGTCGGTGAGTTTAAAAGCTTCACGACTTTTCTAACTGCTTTTTTTGTTCTTTAGAAGCAATTGAATCACCAAATCGTGTTCGACTGAATGATTGGAACCAGATTCAAATTACTAACACCGATCGGGAAGGTACGAGAATATTTTGACGCTTACGAAGATAAACTTCTAGCTTCCCTGAAGCTCAATGATGGTGGGATCGTCTCGAAAACGCACGCGAAGCCTCGAATCTTACCCTACGAAGCTGTATCGCTGGACATTGGAGGGACCAGCGGGATTCAGCAGAAATACTTGACCAGGATACCTTCGAATTACAAGGGTAAGTTTACCTCGTCGAAACGATACCTTACAACCTTTAGGAGTCATCTCCAGCGTGCTTGTCGATGGGGAACCCCTCGATTTGAGCACGGGGAAAAGGATTGGGGAAGTGTCGCTGTACGATGCTTGTCAAGCCGAGCCTTGCCTCAACGGGGGTGAGTTCAAGATGATCATCTACTGTGTCTTGTCATTAAATTACCAAATAATTTTATTTTGCTTTTTAGGCCACTGCATCCCGGCCAACGTCGGCCAGGGCTACATTTGCCAATGCGATATTCGGTTCACCGGCGATTTCTGCGAGCGCCGATCGGCGGCCTGTGGGGATAGTAAGTATTCTTAAACCTTAGATACCTTTAGAATTGAGTTTTTTAATACAATTTTAGAGATCTACTATTTCTTGCCTTTGAGCCTAGCTACTACATTTTTAGACGATTGCAACGGTGGGATGTGCGTGGAAAACGAGGAAACAGGACTCCTGGGCTGCATCTGCCCAGTTGGCTCCACCGTACGTCCTTTCGACAATTTTGACGCCTTTCTATGGCATATGTGCAAAATATTAACTTATTTCTAGGGCCAATACTGCGACGAAACGATCACGGAAGTTCCAAAAGTTATCTCATTCTCCGGAGACAACGCTTTCCTCGCGCTCCCTGCTCCTACTCAAGTCGAGAACTTCACTGTAAGATAAAGCTCAAAAAACGCCATCGATTTTTTTTTCAGGTGTCAATGAGGGTCATCCCACCACGAGAGCCCAAGAACGAGTCGATGCTGTTGTTCCTGGCTTCGTCTTATGCTGTGGATGCTGAAGGGTTCTTGAATATCGGAATTGTCGACGATAAGATTCAGCTCATATACAAGAATCGTGCCGGTTAGTTAATAGTAAAAAACTATAAATACCGAAATAGAAAATAAACAAAAAGACATGTTAAACGTAACCAATTCTAAGGAAAATCGACCATTTCCTCCATCGCTGCCCTACATCCTGAAGTCGAGAATGTCATCGAGGTTCAGCGAGTTGAAGACAAAACGACATTGTCAGTGAATGGAGTACATTCACGTACCGTTGTAAGTATCAGAAGGGATTAATATGCCTACAAAAAAACAATGACCTACATACTTAGTCGTAAATAGTGATATATCGTACATCTACTCGATTCAGAGCTCCACCTCCTTCCGCCCCGGCACTGATCTGTTCGTTGGAGGTTTGGCGCCAGGAATTCCGAAGCACCAGCAAGCCGCTGTCGAGCCCTATGAGGGTTGTATCAGCGAGGTAAAGCCCATAGATCGATAAGCTACCACCTTTCAGCTTGTCATCAACGGTAGAAGGGTAGATTTTGCCGCGCCTGACGGCTATTCTTCTGGAGATCTGCAACAATGCGGACTTGGCAATGAAACTGGAGCCGATCGGGAAAATCTAGAGGTGAGAGCACTTCGGTTATCGATTAACTTTAATTAAAGAAAAAGGATAATAGTAACAATGTAGTGCTATAAGAACAAGCAAACGCCTTAACTTACCTTACTACTGCAATATTAGGAGTCCAATGACAACGAAGAACGAGCGACGGTCAGCCCACCAGAGCTTGAGCCGTGGGAACCGGAACCTACCCCACTGCCAACGGTATAGCAATTTTTGTGTGTCTGTCCACCTTAAAGTATTTTAGGCGTAGGAAACGCCTTGATTTTAATAATGAATATTATAATAATCATTTCAAGAGTGCGACTACCACCACCACAACGAGGATTCGCCCTACAACTACAAAAATCCCTGAAAGACCAACCCCAACGACACCAAAAGTGGAAGTGACAACGACAGAGGAAGTAGTGCATGTAGGTGCGGGTACCGATCGATCGAAACGTTCACTTTAAAAGTATGTTTGACGCAAGTTTTTTTGCCCCGCTCTCGCGAGGGGGCTCCAAAAATTATTTAATACTCATAATTGTTCGTGTGCACGGAAATCTTTAGTAAAAGGCGAAAGATTTTCTCGGTCAAATGCACACGAACCAGAGGTAAGGAGGGAAGGGGAGGGCTGGATGATTAGATGGGGTAGTGGGCCAGATGTGGGGCGAGTGGGAGGGCAGATATGACTAGCGAACTCGATGCAATCATTCAGACCGTCTACATCCGCCCTGACGTCGAACCATCAGAAGACCCTAATTGGGAATTCCCGGATTGGCAAGCTCCTGAAGAGGCCACTATTTCACCGACTCCATTACCAGATATTCAAGAGGAAGAGGAAACGAATTACGGGAATGCAAATGCTGACCTTGAGGTTGTGTTTCAGCCAGAAACTTTCCCATAGCCAAATTTTAGCCGGAAGTCGTTGAAACCGGTGCTGATGGCCGAGAAATCGTGCCGGAACCTGCAGAAATAACCACCAGCACCACCACAATTGTAAGTTTCAAAGCCTGGGTAAAAACGGGCAAAAACCAGTGGCACTCTAAGTGTGCTTAATACAAAATATAGGATAACCATTTACGGAATGTTTCTCGTATTTTTGTGCTGGCTATGCAAATTTATTCCATTTTCAGGCGCCACGTATTTTGCCCACCGATAAAGCAAAGTCCACCGAATACTCGGCAAGCGCGGAATATTATGAAACAACTCAGGAGCCGGAACCTGCGGTAATGCTTGAAAAAGCATCTTTTTCACCATGTTTTTAGCCACATCCTTATGACAGTAGATCCGATCGCAACCAGGAGCCGGAGGTAAACTTTGGAATTTAGCTGCACTCTTACATGTAACTTTTGAGTTTTTCTTACCTAGCTCTCGCTCTCACCCAACCATTCCTTTTCTCTCTCGCTGTCTCTCTCGCTCTATCCCTCTCCCTATCTCTCTCTAGCCCCAAAAAAATTATTTTTAGATCGAAATCGAAGATCTTCCCGCAGTAAACCCGCGGCCGAGAGAACCAGAATCTGAGGAAGAAGACGAGGAAAACACCACCTACTCTATTGGCCGGGATTCTGAAATCCAAGAACTTCCTGCACAAAGAGTGAGTATTTGGGCTCTTTCAAATGGGACTTCTTTAAGCCCACACCACCAGCCGTGGAGTCAGGCCCGGCAGAACGGGACGAGTTGGGCACTACGATAATTGTACCTAAGGTCGTGACTTCATCGCAGGAGCCGGCCGAAGGTACGAATAAGGAGAAATCTTACTCTGTATCTCTCTCATTCTCTCTCACCCTCTCTCTCTGTCTCTCTCTCATTCTCTCTCACCCTCTCTCTCTCTGTCTCTCTCTCTTTCTCTCTCTTTCTCAACATCAAAATCCGTATTTCAGAGATCGCACCCGAAGTCTGGAGCGAAAAGACCGTACACCCGGACGCAGAACCCGAAGAACTCGAACCAACAGAAGCTGCCCAACCCGATACACCGGAATGGTCAACCCAGCTGCCGGTGCCAGATCTAAACGACAACAGCGGGGAGCTCAGCGGAGAAGAGGTTACGGTTGCCAGTCTGGTGGGTCTATAAACCTAAGCCTAAGCGTAAAATCAAGCCCAATTCTGATACGCTAACTGTTTAGCCACCAACTCCACCCCCTACCACAACCACTCCAAGACCGCCGGTAGTCGTCCATCCAGATCCCTATGTGACGCCCTGTCCAGGTAGGTTTTCAGAAATAACAAAATGCGAAATATTATTAAAAAAATACTGCAATCTAGGCAGGCACTCCGGTTTAATTCTATAATGCTTCTACCCCTTTAATACCTCCAGTTTTTAGGAGGCCGCTGCCGATGGCCCGACCTTTGCGCTAACCACCGCTGCGGCGTCAACGGCGTCTGCCGCCAGCTGAACGAGAGCCACTTCGAGTGCGAGTGCAAGATCTATTACGACGGGCCGAATTGTGATATTTGTAAGTTAATATCAGAAATTAACACAGCCAATCATATCTTTAAGTCAAGCCCATCGAACACGCCGCCAGGTTTAATGGTGACGCGTTTATCGAAATGGCTGGAGACGATTTTCCGCATCTGGTAAGAAGTATCTAAATTTCGTTTTTTTTTCATTTTTTAACGAATTTTGATATGTTATATCCGTTCTAAATAGTAAACCCTCGGCCAACCCATAAAAAAAATCATTTTAGAGCAGCGAGCTGGAGGAGACGATCGAGTTCAAGTTCAAGACGAGCCGCATGAATGGGGTAGGCGATTATACTATGTAAAAGGTTTAATATTTACTTCATGTGTAGTATAATTAGCTTACGACCCTTCTCGATTTAGGTAATCTTCTGGCAAGGTCAAAACCCCGACCAATCCCTCGTTGGCGAGGACTACGTGTCGATCGGCATCCGAGACGGCTTCTTAGTTTTTGCGTGAGTTTTGAAGCATAAATCGGACCTGAATTATAGCTACGAACTCGGTGGTGGCGCCGCGGAGATGGTCAGCATTTTCCGGGTCGATGACGGGTTGATGCATAATGTATGTAAATTGGTGTTAATTATCGTGAAGAATATCTGATGCATTAAATACATGGTATTTACGTTAAAAATGCTTTTTCTAGGTCTTGGCAATCAGAAAGGGTCGTGATGGCGCTCTGTTCGTAGACGATTTCCCTCCAGTCAATGGAAGTAGCAGTGGGATTTTGGCGATGTTGAATGTTGATGGGAATGTGTATATTGGTAAGTGTTAAGGAATCTTAATCTATATTCGAGTCATGGTGCATCCGAGTTGGGATGTACTCTCACCCCTCCCCACTCGCCCCCCACCTGGCCCACCACCCCCTCTGATCACCAGTCCCCTCACTCGCTAGATACCTCTGGTTCGTGTGCATTTGACCGAGAAAATCTTTCGCCTTTTACTAAAGATTTCCGTGCCCACGAACAATTATGAGTATTACACAATTTTTGGAGCCCCCCTCGAGAGAGCGGGGCAAAAACTTGAATGCTGCTTCTTCCGTCTTCAATGCTCAATTTTATAGGCGGCGTCCCCGACCTGAAATTCATGACGGGCGGGCTGCACCGCGCAAACTTTGACGGTTGCGTGGCGGACGTGACGTTGAATGGTGACAAAATGGACCTGATGGGATCGGCGGTTGATGGGCGAAACGTGCGACCATGCGATGAATGGGTCGCACCCAAGAGGTTCCTGCATAGGCATCGCAGGTTTGGCTTTTGGCATGGCTTCTGCTAGTTGAAGTGGGCCGAAAAGTGAAGGTGCCACTGGGTAATACGGTCGTAAGACTCCCTAAAAATTTCAAACGGAGCAGCTTCCGTTCAATTCTAACTGGATACGCCGTAGAGAAAGAAACAAGTGGACATTCTGTGCAATTTTAATCGAATAAAAATATGGTGCGATGTATTACCTTTAATGATATTTTTGCTGGTACCATCCCTCTAAAGCCGCTACCTTAGCGTTACAATATAGATTGTGCAGTATGGTTTTGTATAATTCCAGGAACGCTGATTGGCCACCCCTCACCAAAACCGAGGCCGATCAGATTGATGCTGCGCTGGATTTGTGAGTCGCAAATCTCTTCAAAGTATCTCTCTCTCTCTCTCTCGCTCTCTCTCTCTCTCTCTCTCTCTCTCTCTTTCTCTCTCTCTTTCTCTCTCTCTCTTTGTCTCTCTTGTGCTTTAACGCTATCTCTCTCTCTCTCTCTCTCTCTCGTTCTCTCCCCCCTCTCTCTCTATCTCTCTCTCTGATTTTTCTAAAGGTTGGAGCGTTGGGCTTCGCTAGTGGCGCTCGAAAACCCTTTGAACATGCCGTGTTTTGTAGTGACGTGCTTTTAGGCTAGACCTAGCCTATAAATGGTTGA